GTTCTCTCTTTGTTACTTTATTCATAAATAAAGACCATCGGCCACCCCGCTATTTTTCGAGAGTGGAGCAGATCACTCAAAACGAACTACTATATATTTGTGTGTTGACTCGATATTTGTTGTTTTGACATTGATTGATTTATTTATTGTCCATTAATTACACATCTTCACATACTCGATTATTAATTTTGCACAAAACAGTTTTGTGCATTGTCAGACTCATATCAATATCAGCCGATATTTTAAACAATGACAAGGTTAGACCTTTGCTTAGGCACTCAAAAGGAAAAAAAAACAAGAAAGTTGGGTATGGCAATTGCTGGTCAGCCATGGTGTTGCCTCATTGTGGAATACTGTTCACACCACACAGTACACAAAACAAGGCATTCAAGTGGGAAAACAAACTGTGGTTGGTGAGGGTTATTAAGACAAAATTAAATCAGGGTACAGATATACATTAGTGTATTAAAAATGAACAGTGGAATGATGGTCAACAAAGCTCAGCTGCCCCCACCAAAACCAGAACCTCCAACTTTGTCCAAATTCCCTAAATTTGGCCTCCCCTTGTTCAATCCAACCCTTCCACTCTCCTTTTGGAATTCGTGGGGCATACCCTCCCTTCACTAAAAACATGGTAACATGTTACTTATACATATGTAGGGAAGGTTATGGACTAGACAAAAACGAAGATTTGTTCAAACTCATTCTGTCTAAGATCATAGATAGATCATACGTATGAAATAGTGAATATATATTATGATATCCATATAAACTCGTGCAATCATGGATGCAGGGTGGACCCAAACTTATTCTTGCCCTCTTAAACTATATATATATATATATATATATTATGATTTAGGAGTCCTTAACTCTAATTCAAAAGAATCAAGCCGCAAAAAGAGGCATAAAGATATATATTTATTATTGTTGTTGTTTTCTCTAAATAATTAGGGATTATGTTGTTAACTTACTTTTTTGTTTTTGATTTTGATCATATCATGTGGTACAAGAATACAATGATATAACTTGTACTTTAATTGTTATAATTTCTTTTCCAATTTTTTCTTAAAATCACAAAATTTAATTGAATGGATTGGGATAAGGATCAGAATTTAACTACGAGACGAAGATAAGAATTAAAATTTACACTGCTAACGGGGGTAGACCAAGGAGTGAATGGACTTTTATTATGTGGATACAAGAGCGGAGGAGACTACTCCCTCCGCCCCGATCCGACCCACCGTCATTCCTTTCTTAGGCTACTAGACAAATTAAACTCCTTGGGGGAGGAGGAAGGATGAAGATATTGCAATAAGACTAGGATATAAATCATATGCATCGCACAAATTAATCCTCCGAAATATATATTGCTAAAGATGAGTTTTAAATCTTCCTTTCCGAGAAATATTTATTTAATTATTTAGAATTAAATAAATAAATTTTACTGCATAAAGTAATATTTTTTATTCAATCATAAACTATTAATTTTTTGTGTTTATTTTTTAGAATCAATGTTGATTTGGGTTTACCTCCTTATATGCTATGGTCTATAATATTAGGTCTGTTAATGAATCAGATTTTGATCCGAATTTGAATTCGAAACTGAATATGATTAGCCCGATATAGATTAATTAGTTATTTCTCGTATATGAAGATACAGAATAATAAAAAAATTGTTAACAATAAACATATTTATATTCACATTTAAAATTAAATTACAAAGATAGATGAAAGAGAAAAGAATTTAAACACTGATTGTAATGAGGTGAGTGGTGGTGGGAGTAGGTGTGATGGTGGGACAGTGACGGTGGTGATAAGGTGGGGACAACGGTGATGGTGGTGGAGGTGGTGGTTGTGGGGTTGTGGTGGGGTGGCAACAATTGTAATGGTGGTTATTGTGAAAGAGGTGGTGGTGGAGTAGCAATGGTGGTGATAGTGGATGGGCGGTGCGGAAGGACGATGGGAATGGTGGGGTGGTGACAGTGATGGTGGTGGTGGTGGTATGGCGGCGACAGTGACGGTGGTAGTAATAATGGTGATATTGATGGTGGTGGTGGTGGTGGTGGTTGTGTGTTGTGGGGGGGGGGTGATGGTGGGGGTAGTTGTGGCAGTGGGTTGGTGGGGGTGGCGTAGTTCCAAATGTTACTACTTTTTTTTTAAGTATTTATGAAAAGTTATAAGTTGTAAAAGTATTTTTAAAAAGTTATCTCAAATACACCATTATGAGTCTATTTTTCATATTAAATTTGGGATGTCAATATTAGTTGTTTGATTAACTTTAAAATAAAAATTTTATGAAATTTCAACCGTAAAAAGCAAAAGTCATTTTATTTATCTTTTGAGTATTGAATTGTATTGTACTTTATTATATAAATATTTTTTCCTAATAATTCAAATCCAAATCTAATAACTCATATTGCATGGATTTGAATTTTGATATACCTATATTCAATTAGATTTTGATCTGATCTAAATTATTTCTACATTTTTATATAAATATTAAAAAAAAATAAATGATTTTTTAAAAAAATTTACTTAAAATTTAGGTATAATTTTATTAAGTTAAGTTAATTAAGTTATTATGATGTGATCGGATTTTTGGATCAAATTTTCAATTGTTAACGAATTCAAATATAAACCATAAAAATAAAATTTATCGAATTATTTGATTCGGATCAATCTTTTGAAATCAAAATCGAATTTGAATTTAGATTGATGAAAATTCCATCTAAACCTGATGCATTGAGAGACCTACATACCACTAGATATGCACCATGTATTTGAGGGGGTCGCACGCAATGTCACGCGCTAGGTTGTGAGTAGGTCTAAGAAATCTCATCTATAAACAATTGTACAAAGAAAAGTAGAGAAACTCAACAAAGTCGCTTTAAGCAAAGAAAAATCCAAAACATTAGAAGAAAAATCCACAACATTATAAGATCATCATGGAATGGAAGGAGAAATCAAAATCAACTATGACTAACATTGGGTAAAGGAATTTGTACGTTAAAGGTGCGTTTGGTTAGGGAATAAATTATAGTTTTGACTAATTTCGTCCAATAAATCAATTTATTATATCTTTGGGTTATCCACTTGGACTTAGAATAAGACCAAACAACATATCTTAGACCCGAATAAATGACGGAGATAATTTTTTTTCTTTGTTTAATGAATAGGAGTATTTGTATCAGCTTACGTGTACCTCGATTAATTCTCTTTTTAATTCGATCAAAAATAGGTTATTCAAGCCAGGACTAAGACATTATGAAGGATAAATCTCTTATGATCTGCCCCCAAGAAATTATCAATATTTGAATTCAAAAAGTTTAATTTTATAACTCATTTTTATTACCACTTAAACTACTTAAAGTTAATGATGGAAAAGAATTTATCTAATGGGATAAGATAACCTTTGTGGAACAATATTCTCGTAGTCGGATGTAAATTGATCAAACCCAACCCCCTAGCATAGTTAGTCATGTGTTACATATCCCTTGGATAAATGAAATGTCCAAATTTCGACTTAAATAGCTTAATTTTAATCACTTTATATCGATTAATCAACGTTATGGGATTTAGCTAAAACCCACAACTAAGCCTCTGCCTTACCAAATGGGAGATTTTGTTTAAAAGTGGATTGAAAATCTCCACCCCCGTAATATATGTGTGCTAGTAATAACCCATATTTAAAAATACTAAATAACATAAATAAATCAAACATTAATCATGTAGTATAAATATATTAAAAACAAATTTATTTTTTCTTCCTAATTACACAATTTAAAATCAATCTTGTCCCACCTTTTAGAAGGTTTGGGATGGGTGAAATGTTCAATCTTGGGGAATCTGAATTCAAACTCGAATTCGATTAATCGTATATAAATTGATATTGTTTACCAATTATCTGATCCAACACTCATTCAATGAGTGATATGTATTTTAATTGTAATTTTTAAGTTTTATTTGGGTTGTGTAGCAATTTTTTTTTCAATTTTAAGAGAATTTGATCTTGATTAAGGTGAAAAATGTATGAACAAAGTGGGATTTTCAAGTTTGGGCAAAAAAAATTTTAGTGATAATTTTGAGCCATTAGATGGAATGAAACTCAACCACTTTTGTATTAAACTAAATTAAAATAAGTCTTATTTTATTATATAACTAGAGATAATTCGTACATGAAGGCCTAATGCAATGTGAATGATTTTAAGAGAGATATCAGTAATCGTTATGAGTCTATTTGAGATTATCGGATAAATTTATTAAAAATTTCCCCATATTTTATATTATAGATATTTGAACCAAACAATCCCACCAAATTTAAGAGTAAAGAGTTGAGAAAGTATCATCACACCTTCTTCATGAGTTATCCAAGCAATATTTTTTTGTGGAATATCATACAACAAGACAATTCACACTAAATCTGGTTGATGTTGGCAGCCGCACGCAAGGAATGAGGTAATTGTTCGCTTTCGTGGAGTCTAGTTTATATGTTGATTTAGATAATAATTCGATCCGAAATAATGTTACATAATTTTTTGATCGACGTCTCTGTAATCCTCTCTCTCTCAATAGTAAAATTCCTGAAATTTTGTAGACGTATGTAAATTATCGAATCACGTAAAATTTGTGTGTCTTGTTTTTTCTTATTTTTTATTATTTTATATTTTTAATTTTTTTTTTAATTATATATATTTGTGTGTGAGTTTAAAACGTATTAAATATCAACAGTAATAACATCGTCGTCGTATATATTATTATGTACAATTGTCTGTTCAACACCGTCTATTATTGTCCTAGTCTCTTTAATTGTACCTAACCTAGTCGCCTTCACATTTTTCTAAAAATTTTTTCTTTGCAGAGGAAGAAGAGAGAGAGAAGACGAAGCTCTTGTATTTCTCATGAACTGTGGAGTCGTATTGGGTTTCTATTGCTGGGGCTGGGAGTTCTTAACTGCCATTCTTCTATTCGCCACCCCATCTCATCACCACCACCTTCTTCTTCTTCTTCTTCTTGTTAATTAGTTAGAACACACACTCATACATACACACATACATGCATACATACTCTCTCTCTCTCTCTCTCTAGATAAATTATGATGATGGATTTTGAATGTGAAAAGAGTTTGCTAGAATATGTGAGAAAATCTTCACCACCACCTTTCTTGTTGAAAACCTACATGTTGGTGGAAGATCCGGCCACGGATGAAGTGGTTTCGTGGAACAACGACGGGACCGGTTTCGTGGTGTGGCAACCGGCTGAATTCGCCAGAGATTTGCTTCCAACTCTTTTCAAGCACAGCAACTTCTCTAGCTTTGTCAGGCAGCTTAATACCTATGTATGTAAACACAACACTTTCCTTCTTATTTTTAATTTTTTTCTAACTCTTAGAACATGAAAAAAAACCATCAATTTTCTATTTTGGGTCTTAGTATTTTGAATCTAGTTTTCATAAATCAACACTTTCCTTCTTATTTTTAATTTTTTCTAACTCTTAGAACATGAAAAAAAACCATCAATTTTCTATTTTGGGTCTTAGTATTTTGAATCTAGTTTTCATAAATCAACACTTTCCTTCTTATTTTTAATTTTTTCTAACTCTTAGAACATGAAAAAAAACCATCAATTTTCTATTTTGGGTCTTAGTATTTTGAATCAAAAGGTTATATATATATATTGTTTGATTTAATTTTTGTTTAGAAATTTTTTCGATTATTTCTTTTAAAAAAAAAAAATTTGGGTAAGTGGTTACATGTGAAATGAAGTGGGTCAAACTGAAGATGAGATTGTGGATCATGATTTTTGAGTAAAAGATGGGCAAAAGGATGCCATCAGACTATTACTTGACAAAAGGATGAGAACGACAATATGTGCATATTAAAACTATCTGTATCGAACATCAAGGCTTGGGCATCACCACAAGCCACCCTAGTCTGATTAAAACAAATAAAATGTTGACTTATATATAACCTAATGCATATTAGTCTTTGTACGCATTTACACTTATGTTCGTATGAGCAATCCAATTGGAATCTAATTTGAGGATTTAATACAATATATGATCATTAAATTAGCAAGTAATTTCGGCATTGAGTGAAATTTGTTATCAATCTAATGATAATAATGTGTTATGTCCGAAAATCGGATACAAGTAGCTAGTAGTGCAAAACAGATTGAAGAGGTAGATGGCAAGACAATTATTGATATCATGTGTATAACATTGATGGATACAATTGCAATAGTAGGTAGAAAGAAAGAAAATCACCCCCTAAAACTTTTGAATCTTAATATATCTTTGGTTGTATGAGAATATTGGGTGGTTTATTGTTCATACTTTTCCCAATACTGGTCTTGAAAGTTTTTTTTTTCATTCAACAATCAAGGATGTTCAGGTCAGTTTACACGCACCTTGACTAATTCTCTCTCCAGTCTGGTTAAAGGTAGACTATACATGCTGGAACTAGGATATTCATGAGGAATAAATCCCTCATGGCCTAACCCAAGGGGTTGCCAAAATTCTAATTCAAGACAACTAAGTTTATAACTCGTTCATGTTACTATTTGAACTATCCCTTGGGGTTAAACCTTCTAGTTCTACCTATGATACTAAACAACAATTATAATGGTTGTTTTTCCTTGATCATAGTGGGTTATACTTACATCCATTATATCGATCGAGCATTAATAGAATTTAAATCTGAATCCCTTCTAACACAATGAGATAGTTCCTAGAAGTATTATTTTCTTTCATGACTTATAGTTCATATGTATTTAATTAATACTAATACTTAATTACTCGTAGTGTATTAGCTAGAAAACCACTTAAACATAGTGAATCGTACTTGGATTCATAGTATATGATTAAGCAATGACAATCGAGGAAATTGACTATTGGAATGGATCTAAATCCGCTAAAACTCTCCATGATTGTTCTAGAGTTTCATCTTCTTTATCGTATCATTTCATATTTTCTTATAATTGACAGGGGTTCCGTAAAGTAGCAACTAGCCGGTGGGAGTTCTGCAACAACAAGTTTCGCAAAGGCGAACAAGATCTACTCTGTGAAATCCGTCGAAGAAAAGCATGGACCAACAAGCCACAATCTGCTACACAAAACCAATCTGCACCAAAAGAACTCGACGAAGATCAAAGATCATCATCAACTTCATCATCCTCCGGTTACACTACCCTAGTTGATGAGAATAAGAGGCTCAAGAAAGAGAATGGGGCTTTAAACACCGAGCTTTCGAGCATGAAAAGCAAGTGCAAGGGGCTTCTTGATTTGGTTGCCATGTACGCGAATTCAGAGAAAGAAGAAGAAGAAGCAGATGAGAGGCCAATGCTGTTTGGTGTGAGGTTGGAGGTTCATGGGGAAAGGGAGAGAAAGAGAAAGATTAGTGAAAGTGCAAGGGTTTTACTGTCTCAGTCTTGCATATGAACAACAGCAATGTAGAATAGGAAATGAATAAATGTGTCACTTAAAAGTAAGTGGCTAGCTAATTATGCATATGTAGATTATGGTGTGCAATGTTTTAATGAACTGTGAAGATAGTTCATGTGCAATCTGTACAATATTTTGTACTTTTCCAAAGGTGATTATATAAAGATAGTGTCGTGTCAGATTCGTTTTGTATTTCTCAAAATTTACTTAATTCATATCCGACTTATACCTTTGTATTGTCAGGTTTATATTATATATAGTTGGATTCATGTTGATGAATTTATTAAGTAAATAATCAATAATCAACCCACTTTTGCCCCCAACCTTAAACCCATTGTATCGATCGTGTTGAATTGGTGGATGGTGTTAAGAATTATCAATCTTATTTTCCTTTAAGAATACCCTTGCAATTAAAGAACAATAGTGACATTTTTTGCTAAAAAATACCTTATAAAGAACTCTACATCTATGTAAGTCCTTTAGTTAGTAAGCCCCTTTTGCCATGAAGTTCCTTAGAGAAACAACAAATACATGTGACATGCATGCTAACAGATTGTTCAATATAAGATCAATAATGACATTTATAATGAGATAAGTGGTATAGAAAGTATAATTTCAAATGTTATATAATATTTTAAGAACTTGCAACCCCTTGGTCCGTGGTTAGGTGTACATGTGTTTTTTCCTAGAGAATTGTGAGTACTTATGTTAGGCAGGAATCTTGAATTTTCATTTTGAGGATGCTTTCACTTCAATAATTGTAAGGAGAAAGTCAATTATATAACCGGGAAAAAAAATTTATATTTATCGATATTTATCACATTTGTAAATATTTTTATTACTGTTGTAGGTCCAAAAAAAAGTGATAAAAACACCTACAATAGTGATAAATTACTCACAAAATTGATTAAAAAAAAAATTGTACTGAAGAAAAGTGATAAAAATAGTTATTAAAATAATGGTAAAAACACCCACAAAAGTGATAAAATATTTTGTTGTAAAACTACCTACAAAAGTTATAAAACACACTCATTAAAGTAGTAATTTTTTTAAGTATCATACCCATTTTTTTTTTTGGGGTACCATAGTAAAGTCCATTATATAAACAATGGATATATAAAATTAAATTTGAGCCCAATTTCACTTTCTATATATTTTTCCCTACTCTCATGCCTTGACTAAAACATATTGTGCATGTGCAATTGAGGGCTTGACCCTCTATTAGGTTCGTTATTTAACAGCTTCATCTATCATTTGAAATAAGTGACTGCTTACAATGGTATGATTTCTTTTACGCACACAAGACAAGAAAGATAAAAAGGAACATGCACATAAATTATATTGTTTAAACTTAACTTATTAGAGTCATTGTATTAGTAGCGGATCTCAACCAATACTAAGATCTACTATCAACCCAGAAGCTGTAAATGGTTTATTAAATCAGTAAATGGCTAACATAGGACTATCAGTTGAATGTTGGAACGCTTTTGTAATGATTTGAACTCGTATTGTCCAATATTATCTTTTTTCGATTATATTTAAACGATTTTAAAAAAAAGTTGTACAATATTCAAAGTTGAAATGTGTCAAGTTCTTCACTCACATTTTGTCCAACAATGCAAAAAATGGATTCGGTATTTCATCTTTTCGCTGAGATAATGACATAAAAATAAGAGACAATATAGAATCCATTCTTTAGCACTAAACCCCCTCTTTTCCTTTTCGGGTGGGAAGTGTAAAATCCAGACAGATAATGTTTCAATGAGCTACTTTAATACTCAAAAAGAAACTTATGCCAAAACAAGCCCGATGGCAAGTTGGCAGAGTTTGAGAGCCCTTATTAGCAAAGTCAAGCTCCAAAAAATGAGAGATTAACCAGTAGTGCAGATTTGACTCGACCAAGAAAAAATTTACTCCGAAAGATCAAAGAAAGAACAAGAGCGTTCGATCTACTAATAGCGGAGATAGACTTACCACAATTCTATAGAGTGAAGATTATGCGGGCATAGTATTTCCTCACAATTTGATGCTTTTTTTAGCTTTAACTTGTCAACACGGGTTTAATCCTATAAAATTATTGTCAAAAGTTCCAAGTTAACAATTATTTTTTTCCCTGGTAAATGAATTCTCTACTCAGAAATATTATTAATCAAATTTTACAAAATTATAGAACAATTTTTTCAAGAAATCCTGCAGATTTTGGAAGTGCAATTTATCCATTTTATTCGCATGGGCAGAGCTAAAATTTCCTCTTGAGAGAGGTCAATTGGAAGCGTACCGAGATATTTTTATTCAAACTGGGTCATTCAATAAGATTGTTAATGTTAAATTTTTAAATGCATAGAACAAAATAACATCAACTTCACACCACATATTATTGTGTTCAATAAAATCGGTACAAGTAATTGAATCTTATTGAATTAATTAGATGTAAAAATAAAATCAATTAATCAAGTAATCAATAATATCATGTCAATTCCATCACTTAATCCCTCGAGCATAGCTAAATCTTATCCTACCTTTAAAGAATGCAAAAAAGAGGGAACGAAAGAGCAAATCTCTCAAATACATAATTTAAGTAGTTTTGAAACTTATATATAATGTTAATGCGCCATTAACCATTTAAAATAGTCCAAAATCTACATATTTGTACAACGCCAAAATTTAATAATTTATGCAAGATGTCTTGATCTAAATGGGTAATGGGCCAATGTGATCAAATCGATAGTCAAGGATAAAATAAAACTAAGATTATAAATTAAGTGTCTGTTGATTGTGAGTGTATTAAAATTTTTTCGCTAGTTAAAAAGGGTGAGGCAAATGAGAATGTTCAGAGACCACTCTGATAGGCCCTCATTAGTGGAATCATGAGGTTTTTGATCGCACTTGTTACTCCTCTCGAAAACGGATATAGCAAGACTATTATAGTGGTTAACTATCGAATCTCAATGTAAATTTTAAGATTCAAATCTCCAACTTTAATATGAGAAGTTTGATCGATGCCCTATTGCACAACCCCAGTCGTTGTTTAGCCCTCGGTTGAATAGACTTGAATGTATTTTGGTGTGTGAAAGAAAATGGCCAAAGCAGCCGCCCTCATGCACCATCTTCAAGAAAGAAGAAAAATGGTTAGTAATTTCCAACTATTGAAGGGTCACTGTCACACCACACCTTTCAGCTTCAATCAAGGTGTATAGCCAAACATAGGTCAATCATACCATATTCACACTCTTATATGATTCAAAAATGATCCGACATGAAATTTAAAACTAAAAACTATAATACATTTCAAATCATGCGTAATTAAAATTCATATTGACTAGATTCTCTTCTGTCAAAAAAAGTTGGTATTCCTTAGGACCCAACTCAAAGACCAAAGAAGGGTATATATATACACTAAGATTTTCTTAAAGAAAAAAAAATCATTTTGACATCAAAGTTTATTCTTTAAATTCAAATGTGATAATTTAGAGTCAATTTCTCATTGGTCGCTTAACGGATTCATCAATAGGAGAACACTTTATAATCTTGACCAGGCCTCAAATTACGATTGAGTCTTGCTCTTATTTTTGCTCAAAGTTGACAAAAAAATCATTGTCTAACACATGGGCAGCTAGAGCCTAAGGCCATCAAAGCAATAGTCTTAGGCCCCATGAAAAAAACAAGGTCTCAAATTTTTTTGGGAAAGTAAAAAAAAGTCCTAATTTTTTATATAATATAATCTAAGTTTCAAAAAAATAAGTCTTATAGCTGTCTATGTTCAGGAAAAAAAATATAAGACCAAGCTTATATAGTCAATTAATAGCCACGTTTGATCTAACACAATCCTAGTACTAAAAAAAAGAGGATCCAATTGACATTGCTCACTTGTTGAAAAGAAAGAAACTCATAGTTCATCATAAATAAGCAATTATCTTGCTCGATTACAAACAAAAAAAGAAAGAGTTAAGCGCTTGTAAATTTCTTCTAGTCTCTCCTCCCCCCCCCCGGCGAGGAAGGTAATCAAAAAAGAAAGAAGAACATCATCATTATACTCCATTTTTTCAAAGAGCAATACTATTAAAATTCTGATCTAATAATTTGATCACATGTGCCAATACGCATAATTATCATTGTTACATTTTTTTACTAGAAAAGTTATACATACTACTTCATTAGATTAAAATATTATATCATATTTTTAGGTCTCAATAATATTACATTACAACTAAAAATAATTATCAACTCATTACTTTCTCTCTTTGTTTTGAGCAATCAAATGATAAGTTTTTTTTAATTGAATACTTATTATATATTCAACGTATTCTACAAAAAGAAGTTTTCAAAGATTAAAATTGATAAAATTCTACTTCAAATTAATTGTATTATAAAAAGATTAAGTAAATAAACAATATGATTAACTAAAAATAATATGTTCCCATAAATATTCAATTAGTAATTATTTACTTACAAAAAGTGAAAAAAAAAAGATTACTTAAAAAAAAAAATTTACTCAGTCTACCATGTATATGGTGACCAAAGGTTTTTTTTGGGTTTGTAACTGCAAAGCATTTCATGAATATTTGGCATTTTTATCTGAATTTGTGGCGGGAATAATTAGGTGTGTCAATTCGTGTCATGTCGTATTGTGTGACTCACATATCTTGTATTTTTATATTGTGTATTATTATTCTCGATGTGTTCATGTCAAAACCCACAAAAAAAATTTTAATTAGTGTGTTCTGAATGTCAAACATTAGTGTAGACTATTTATTATACGTATTTAATAATCGTGTTATGTCAAATTCATATTAACGGGTCAAACTTGACACCCCTAAGAATAATGGGCAACCAGCTTTCTGCAACTCCACAACTTCACCTATTGTTGTTCCTTTTTCCAGTATGAGCCTTTGTTCTTTCCCTTATGTTAATGTAAACAGAGCACACGTTTTCTGCATACACCGACTGAATTTATTCCTTTGTTTTGCAACAAAACGCGTTGAAATCCATGTCATGTGGCATGAAGATCTGCAAATTCTTGCCACTAATCATTTTACTATGAAGAAGATGAACACAATTCACATGAATATAATGGAATATCTCTAGCTTAAAGGCAAGAACACTTCATATCTGGTAAAAAAAAAAATGTATAAGAAGAGCAGCCTAGAGTAAGCCAATACACAATACAATCCTGTGACAGAAATATATATAAAGTAGAAGCGTAAACACGAGTGTCAACACAAGAAACAAGCACTGGAACTTGATTGTATTATCGCAGATTCATCTAACATCATGTTTTACAAAGACAATCTGAAGCTTCCTTGGCAACAAACTTGACAACGTAAGAATAAGTCTAACTCTTTGGCTTAGTTTTGTACACATAGTCCATAACTTCGGCTGACATGTCTAGCAATAAAAGGCTACTTTATACATGTTCTAACATACAAATCCCCGTCATTTCTATTCTCTACCACTCCTATGGTACAAGCATGCTATTATATATGTAAGGCTCTCGTTCCTGGGACAGTCCGAGATGTTGACATGTTTGTTGCTGCATATAGCAAATGCATCGCTAAATTTTCCTCACTAGAGAGCTCAAACAAATTTCTGTGTCTATGTTTTCTGCTGCATATAGCACATGCATTGCTCAATTTTCCTCACTAGAGCTCAAACAAATTTCTGCGATCCAACCAGTCTGTAAAGGAAGGACAATCATTCTCAATCTTCCTGCTGAAAGAAAGTATAATCTGAACCAGGCTCGGTCTTTGTAACCTGCAAAATGAGTACCACCTTTTCATGAGGTATACTGTTGTCATGGTTAAAAGAAATAAGGAAGACATTTCCATTTCAACTTACTGGTCTTAGTAAGTGGCCAGTGTTGAGGGAGAGATTTGAACAGAAATATTTAATCAAGAAACGCTGACCTATTTACTGTCCCTGCCATCTCATGCTTGTTAGACAGTGTTTTAGTATGTACAGGTATTGGGATTAGTTGTAAATAAATTTGGACTGATAAGGATGAGATTTTCAGGATGACATTGTTGAATAGAAGTCATTTTTATCATTACAACAGTGGTGTCTCATAATTATGATATTAGAGCATATCAAGGATAAATGAATTTGAAATTCCTTTTCCAACTTACCAAACAGGACACGATCAAAGTTGAAAAGGAAATTTTACAAAAACATTTTGTGAGGGATGGTTGACTCATTTACCCTCCCTTGAACAGGTCATGGTATGATAAATAGGGCTATGTGCAAGTGCATGAAGTATGAACCCAACTACCAAAGAGATTTCTTCTCTCACGATAAAAAAAGAATCCTAATATTTACTGTTTTCCATCTGACAGACAACATGCTTCTAAAACTTTTTACTGTTCCATTCGAAACATGACCAAATTTTGAAATTGATTTTATCCAAATCTTCCTTAAAATGATCTTGCTTTCCAATTAAAAAGTTTCACTTTTATGAGCATCATAAGTTACAGAACATTGTGTGCCTTGTACATACAAAATTTTTTGTAGTCTTCAGCAAATTTTATCTTATTACATAGGAGAGGGAAACAATCAAATGAAGTCTAATTCTCACAAAATATTGCCAATTGAACCACCGCTTAAGTCACAGATATACCAACCTCAGCAGTACGAGAAGATCCAGGAGCAAGAACGGGAACAAGAGACGTCCAAAGAACAGGATCTGCTAAAGGATCAATAGCATTGTAGTGTGTCAGCAGTGGTGCAGACAAGAAAGGAGTCATAGGGTACACATTGCTTTGAAGAGGCAACCCTCCGCTCATCCCAAAAGCAACTCCAAGTCTCTCACTTCCACCATCATGACTAGATGATTTCTCAATAGCCTTTCCATGGTCTATTTTTTTTATAGTATTTTTGTTTTCGTTTTCATCATTCTCATTGTTTTCTTGCTTTTTGGATGCTTTCTCTTGCAAGCTCTTGTATGCTGCAGACCGTGACAAAATGCTCATAGCAGACACTGCAGAGCCCTTGTGCTTTTTCTCTTGAGGTGACACACCCAAAAGGGGCATCTGGTAGGGCTCAGTCGACTGGATTGCCCGTTCCAGAGCTTTAAGTTCACTGCTTATGTCTTCAGAACAACCATGTTTTATTTCCTCCGCTGATTTCGTTTGAGAATCTGCTAGACGGGTTTTGTTGGGTCCCCACCACTTTATGTAACTCGTCAAGTCAATCTTTCGGTCAATGCAAAAACCGCCGGCATAGTCGCTATCTGTTGTTGTATCATCACCTGCACATTTTGTAGGAGAGGACAGTGGAGTAGTTGGGAAATAATTCAAGAAGTAAAATAGGTAAAAGATAGTGTTCAAGGAGGACCTCTACATTTCTAGTTTCTGTTTTCATTGGAAGGAGTCCGTCTATTTTAACAAACCCTTCATTGGAACATGCAAATTTTACTTACCATAATTCATGCTGTTGAAGTAATCAGCAACTCCAGGCATACGACCAAATTGTGAATCCCATCGACTGCTTTTTAATAGCACAAAAATGGAACAGAAAACGAAAGCACATCATTAACAAAGGCAAATCTGCAAAAATTAGAAAACTCATGCATTACGAATGGAAGACCGCAACTCAATGTGGGGTTCCTGGGGGACTCCATTGGTGACTAAAGGTGGACCAAAATTTTGGACGTGTCCAGTGAGTAAGCAACATCTCATGCACTCAGCAGCTTCGAAGCATGCTAATTGTTGAAGATCGTATGCAATACATGAAACCTCAAAAGCTCACGTGTTATATGCATACCTGGAAAGTGGACGGTATTTAGAGATTCCTCTGGAGAAACCACTACTCTTTCTGCAGTAAGTATGTATTAGAAGAAACAGCAAACTTCCAACAGAGCACATGGATTTGCAAAGCAATTACATACCTTCGAAGTGATGCAAGGTAATCTTCTCTTGAGACATTTTGCATCTCTTCAAGATCTCTTGTATAATCCGTGACCTGCACGAAACATTTAGATGCATTAGTACATGGAAAAGTAACTCATCACAAAGTAACTCCACTTTAAAAGGATATACATCTCCCAGGACAAAAAGATCAACTCCAATCAATTCCTTTATTAACTGATTATTGCTTATGTTTGCAATTACGAATAAAAAAGATGCTTCAATTTGTCCAACAAAATGAGGTAAAAACTAGATCTGCAACATCTCACTGGAAAATTAATAAGTGTCCCTGGGCCCCAGTATTTTAAGGCGGCAAGATCATATGCTCTGGCCGCAGCCTCCTCATCATCATATGCACCTATGGGCACGAGTTAATAGAAAAAAGTCAAAATATTATGAAACGATCCTGTCATTAGGGGCTTCAAGAAATTCATTTATTAAGTTACTTACCCAGGTAAACTGTCAAAGTAAGAAGGGCATCGACCAATTTCCAATTCCCATGCAATACAACAATGATTTCCATGTTAGACAATAAGGTAAGCGTGTATGGAAAAGAAAAATGCATGAGAGAGAGAGACCTTGCTTTCCCTTCTTATTTTGATTCTGATTCCAGGTACTTTTATCCCAAAGGTGAGCTTCATAACGACCTGTCCATCTATGCCTAAAATCATGATTTCAAAAGCATGAGTTAACAATTAAACAAAGAAATCAAATATAAATACAACCACAGAATGGAACAATTTGAAATATTTATCAATCACATAAAAAAAAGGGGGGCGGATGAGAAGTGCACAAACGAAAACAAATTACAATGAGACTCTTATTTGGTTTTCATAGCAACCATGCACCAAGACATAACCGTGTAAGGGTAGCCTAATCCTCTAGATCATCTGTTGTGTCCCAGATGACGAGATGACAAAAGAGAGACAAGGAAAGGAAGTGAAGCCATGTGCTGAATCCACAGACCCTCCCTTATTTACTTGTGACAAGAGGAAAGAGTGCCTTGGACCTAGAACCTTCATTATGCAACTTAATTCCAGGTTGTGTAGGACGATCTAGAGCAGACAATAATGTACAATGACAAGAGCCGGGCTGTGACAAATTTGGTATCAAATAGGTTCCACAAGATAACATGTGACTCTGAGTGGTGAATTGTAGTGACTCAAATGATGAAACAAAAAAGATGAGGAGAGGAAGTGAAGGAAGGCGCTGAATCCACAAACTATGAGTGCCTTAGAAGCGAGGACTTAGAATCTTCATTGTATAATGCATTTTAACGCCTTAGGCAACCAAAACGGACAAATTATACAGAGAGGGGACCAGGTGTAGGCAATTACAGAGAGACCCAAAAAAGTCCCAACTTATACGAAAACTGTACCTAACGTTTTCCCATTTTGAACCTGTCTATATCATATTTGCTTGTATGCTGGAAGGTGTTGCTTCATTGACAAACCAAATCTGCCACTTACAGTTAAAAAATTTAACTAAATTTACTTCCTGAAACAGCAATTACAACACAATTACATCTTTCCTAATCCTTCCGATATCAATATAATCAGATTGATGCTATCCGGTGTTTATAGTTGTTAGTATCTTACGATACGGGATATGTATCCACTGCCCTTTGCTATGTTATCCACTGACCACAATCCACATAGTAGTGAATCATGGTACCAAATGAAGTTCTTGTCAATAATGGGTCTGACTAGATCAAAATGGATACATATAAACATCTCACAAATAATGCAGGACAACATAACCGTGTCTTCCCATAAATAGGCAGTAAAGTTAATGTAGAAATATATTACTCATAAAAAACCAAGAAAACTGGGAACTGATTTTATAGATCCACATCTGAAACAGAATCGAAAAAAAGTGTCTAGTCTAAAGGCACCATAAGTCTCTACAACTGCCATTTTAAACGATGGTTTTTTGGTAGGTTGACACCACTACAAAATTGTCCACAGAGTGCTATTTGCCCCTAAAGAACTGAACAAAAAGTGATATTTTTGTTGACAAAGTTGATACAATCATGTTTTCCAAATGAAGAACTGCTAGATATTCCAAATTAAACTCTTGGACGGTTTGCATGGCTGCAAACAATGGCAGAACACTGCAAAGAAATAGCAAAAGAATGGGTGCTAGTTGTCACAACCAATTCCCATAATCCTTCTTCTTTACTTCCAATTTTCAGAACACAACATTTCTATAGTTCCACTGGCATCTATCAATTTACCCCAGCAGTTTCGGACACTTTTGGATCCCTTCCCTCCAATTTGATTACATATATAAAAATAAAAGCAATAAACAAGCATATTTCAGCTTCATTATGAATTAAGATTGCCCAAATATCTCATTTCTGAAAAGAAATAAAAATTTCAACTTTCTAAATCTGGTTTCAAATTATGAGAAGTTTGAAATCGTATGTATTTTCTTTTGTTACCTTCTTTTTTTTTGCCAACCAAACAGACTCACATAATCTAGCAGGGTACGCATCGATTTTTGCTTGTTTTGTATGTGTATGTGTAAACTTAGTGATAGTGTGTGTGTGTACCTGGTAACGCCACGGTAAATGGAGCTGCGCTTTCCGGCGGCACAAGGGGGCATTTTGCTGATTCGCTCTTTGGCCGTACATCCTCTCTCTTTCTTCGCTTTCTTTAGTCCTCTGTACAGCCATAGCTGATCGTTCGCCATCACTGCTGCTGCTTCCGAACTTTCTCCGCCGCCGCCTCCTCCTCCCTCCGCTTTGGGAGGAGCAGGCTCAGATGAAGAAGAAGCCATAGTTGAAGCAAAACCCTAAGAGAGAATAACAGGAGAGAGTGTTGTGTGTGTGATTGGCGTTGCCGAGTTGGGAGCTAGGAGAGAGTAGTCGTTTGATTTCACCGTGTTGAAAACTACAGTGGGAGGGAGGAGAAGTGGTGAAATGACGAAAGTATCCTTGTTGTAATTGTCAATGATCATTTTTTTCAACAGCGTTGGTGACATTTGTCAGACGATTCTAACGGCTATGATGGTCGCAAGGCTAATTGTGTAATTTAGTACCTTTTTGAAACTGTGTGACCTCGGTCAAACATAAGTACCTTAACGACACGTGTCCATATATGGAAGATCTTTGTCCTTGGTTAATTGAAGAAACAGATTTACGAGTCAATAGAAATTTAAACTGCATTTCCATGTTTTGATCAAAAAAATATATATATAAAAATTTAAACTGAAAAAACACTGTATATGATGGAGCTCATATTCTACCAATCTTTGTTGATTTTTTTTCCCCTTTTTGAAAATATTATGATTTCCACATTCGAGTTTTTTTTCTAGAAAAATATGTGTTCAATAGAAATCGTCTTTAATTAAATATGTTTGAAAGAATTAATCCTTTGATCGTCGTTTATAGAACATATTAAAATATTTAATTTCAAGAGTCACTAAATTCCCTAACAATATTGATCTTGTCATGATGTATTTAATGAAGTTCATCTTGAACATGAGCATAGTTTGATGTACAAAAAGATAATGCTTTAACTTTTTGATTGAGAACATCCTTTATCTTCTTGCTATAAATGTATATTATCTAAAAGTTATGCTAGTTAATTCTTCACTTTAATAATAATCGACCAGGCTATCCCATATCAGATAGCTTTGGGTGTGTGTGTTTATAAGTCTCTACCTAACTCTTACTCTATTAGAATAAGTGGTTAGGTGTGAATCAAAAAAAACAAGACCTCTTTGTATGGGGCATTCGGTATTGGACTGAAATCCCACACTTTGGACCGCGAGGCCTTGCGGTCATGGTAATTACGCCGGAGTGTCGAGGGACTGGGTTATCCCACATCGGATAGCTTCGGATGTGTGTATGTATTTATAAGTCTCCATTTGGCCCTTACTCTGTTAGAGTAAGTGGTTAGGTGTGAATCAAAAATAATAATCGACCAACGTAGTCATTTAAACTTCTAATATCACAGAAAGGGCAATCTTCTTAGAGATATGTAAAAAGAGCAACACTATTGGAACACGATGCAATGGTTCGAATAAAGTTCACTATCAATAGTCACAATGCAATAGATTCTCACATTACATAAAATTCACAGCCACCTGAGAATAAACCAATTACCCAACTACTGTATAACATTGTACAAATGACTAAAAATAACACAGATTTTGTTAGCATTTTTACACCCTTAACCTAACCTGCAAGACAATTTCTTTGATAAGTTCCAGCAACCATGCATAAATAGAATCGGGTGTCTTGTAAAGAGATATAGCTTACCATATTCCAATGTTTCCATCGCTGAAATGGAGGTCCCGCAGAATACAAAGGATACAACCAGAGGCAGCTTTGCAGGTTGCAGCGTCGTTCTTTTGTTGTACTGATCAAAATGTGAAGGTGTGAAGAGAATCATGGTGAATGTCATGGCTTAAAGCGAAGGAGGCCGAAATTCTACCGTTAGCTTCTTGGAATGCGACTGTTAAATATTGCTGCTTCATATACATGTTCCAGTGACTAATGCACTGGTGGAAAGGCCAGAGTCGTATGGCTTGCTTCTTGAAAATTGTTTTGCAGATTTGCTCTTCAAGGATTCTGCCAAACCATCATAGACCGACCATATGAAACTCTCAGGTACTGTTCTTCTAACAAGATATCATGTTCAAGAATAGATATTTTCATATTTTTTTGCTGGGTGGGTGCTTGGTATTAGATAGATGCATGTAATGATATTGGTTAGAAGAATAGAAGGAAAATAATGCAAAATGCAACACTAAACAGTTCGAAAACAAGCCAAATACTATCTGATCATGAGTGCCATTGTCCATACATTAATTTTCGCACAAAACGACTCATAAAAAATAGAGAAATAAAATGTAACTGGTCAATATGTTAAAAATCACATGAACTCTGTATGCAATCATCCCTTTGAATACTCACTGACAATAGAACAGTGCCAAAGCAGTTGAGTTTTGATAATGAATAGTGTGACGATAGATCCACTGGCAGCTCAAATACCACCCCTAATATCACAGGTTTAATACCCATGTTTAAATTTTAATTTTAATTCTCCTGTGAACCGTACCATGGACTTAAAAGTTTAACACATTGTGCCTTTTCTTTCTTTAATTGATTGTATTTCTTTTTCCAAGTCTTCTACAAATTAAATGTGAATAGTTGAAAGGCACTATAGGTTGTTGGATATTGGGAAAACTCATATACCTTATGTATTTTCCAAGTATCCAATAATCCCTAAACCATTTCAATGACCCTTTTCTCCATAATAGCACAAATAATTAACATAAGTGGCTGTTCATTGGTCATCTTCAATTCTTACCCGAACTCTTAATTTAAATTTGAGTAAAAACAGACTAAAAACAACCTCCAATCCTTTACTGAAACACATACCAAATAAAAGGAAACTCATTTTTTTCCTCAAATCAAGGGAGACTTAAATCTATAATGGTCAGAATTCACTCTTTTAAAAGATCCAATAATCATATTTTACCTTCTTTTAAATTTGAGTTTGTTCTCCTTTAAATTTGAGTTTGTCCTCCTTTAAATTTGAATTTATCCATTGGAGTGACTTGTATCAAATTAAACTTTTTACTCAAGTTGGAGTAAAAGTTTTGAGATAGCCTTATGAGATTAACTGCCACACATACCCATTCTTTCTTGTATGACAGCAGCATATTCAGTTCCACTACTCTTTTGGGCATAGGAGAGTATGTTGCGATACATTGCCACTGAAGGCTGAATTCCTGCATCCTCCATCCATTCCATCACCTGCATGGAGACTAGCTGAATCATTCCATGAACCAAGAATTGCTAGGTGTGGCCACGATGAAGCCATACACCAGCAGGAATCTAAATAAAAACAAATGTAACTTCATATTTGACAACTTTCAAGTCCATAATGTGCAACAGATTGACAGGTGTTTTACTTATTGTGTTCTCTTGTAGGTACTTCTTCAGTAGCCCATAGAACAGAAACACTGCAACGTCAAGTGAACTCCAACCATACTTTCTTTCCCCTTTCTGTAAAAATTTTTGCTTTTGCTTTTGTATTTGTTACGGGATGGAAAGGGGATTGGGACATTCATGTAGATCATATCTGTTCAAACTCTTGCATCTGTCACTTTGCGACAAACTTCAATGGACATTAAAGCATCAAAGCAAAAAAATACAAATATTTAGCTTTTCACAAGATAAGCGCATGGCTTTCTTGGCAGGAAATAAATGGAACACAATCTTAACATGTCGATGATTTTAGAAAAAGCTTAATGCCTTAATCATTTGATAGTAAAATGATGTATGCTAATACCATTTAATGTTGTGGACAAAACAGGTAAAAACACTAGCTATATTATTTGTGAATAAGTGCTTCGCAAATTCGAAGCTTGCCTTCTGAAAGACATCATAAACTTCAGTGGAATTACCTCGACATATTTCCTCCAATTTCCAACAGCCAAAAGATTTTTCAACAGAATTGAATAAGTTGAGAAGTTGATTTCTGCATCTGAAGCAACTATCTTATAGAACAACTGCACTTGTGATGAGGGAAAAAAATATGTTAATCACCTTGAATCCAGCAGTCCATGACCTTGAAGTACTACATCTCACCAACATAAGGATCAGCAGCATAACATTTTGGCTGAGATGCAGTAATTCAATTAAACAAGTATGTAAGAAGCAAAAAAATAAATCTTAACCTTCATCATGGTCTCCATCTTCCCAGACTTTCCAATAAAATGCAGAAGCTGATTCAAAAGTCCCACTGAAATAACAGGGAATGAAGGTTCCATCATTTTGATCAGTTCATTTGCTGTCCTCCAATCTCGTAGTCTTCAATCAGAATTCATAAATTAGTCTCATGGTGGCAAAAAAATCAATTTCGGATTTATGAGACACATGGGACTCATTACCCATACAGATAAAATATTATGCCAGTAACCCAAGATTTAACAAAAAAATCATTGGGAAAAACAACTCCCTATCTACGTATCAAGGTAAGAAAGAAATGGGCAACTTGGGTGACACTGCCACAGGCAATCATTTGTAATTTGCAAAGATGGAACATGGCTGTACCTATGTTTGAACTTTGACCACCTTCCTCTGCGTGCATTTGTGATTTACTCATAGAAAAGACACAAATATCCTCACTGAAACTATCAGTGATTAGTATCATCCAAAGACTTCTATCTTATATTCTACAGTCAAGCTTAATACAAAATTGGAAAAACAGATATAGGAAGTTGGTCATGTGAGACCCTTTACACGAAGATGGCCTCGCATGTGCACATTGCCCCCCCCCCCCCCAAAAAAAAAAAATAAATAAATAAATAAAAAAACACACACAGACACAGACACAGAGAGGGTAAGGCAAGGCAATATCTTATGCTAATTCTACACGCAACAGCTTTGAAGGAAATACAACATACATGCTACAGGCTGATACCATCTCGAAGAAAATAGCATCACAAAAGGGAATCTTCCTGTCTCTCATAAATTCAGCCACGATCAGAACATTGGCTGGTTGGCATGCTCTATTGAAAATTCTCATCAGAGTTGCACAAGCAATATAATCTGGTTGGACATCATTGATTTCCATTTCTTGAAATAGTGAAAATGCTTTTTCCCAATTCTCTGCACCATGAATATTTCCCTAAAAGTAAAGCTCAAGATGCATATTCTTGTATCCCCTACTGTTAACAAGCAACTTAACATACGCACATACCCGTAGCACCATATGCATGTAGCATGGTTGTATATGCAATAACATCAGGATAACAACCTTCCATCTTCATCATGGAGAACATAGATTCTGCTTCAGTCAGTTGACCCTGGAAAAGATAAGAACAGAGCTAGAACGGTGAGATGTACTGAAGGACATGAAAGTGTTTGTTCAAAGGCAAAATTTATCAAGCACTTGCCTGTTTACTGTACGCACAGATAGCAGATGAGTACACTTCCTTGGACAGAGGAATTCTACAGTCCATCATTTCATCAAGAAGTTCAAGGGCCTCACCATACTTTGACATCTTACAACAGCCACTTATTAGCACATTATAGGTAACAGAATCAAGTTGAACTTTCTGCTTCCTCATGGACCTGTATAAAGTTAAAGCCTTTTCATATTCACCCACGTTCATATAACTTCCAATGGCAGAGTTGTATGCAATTGTGTTTAATTCGATGCCTCGCACCTCTGCAGCCCTAAGTATGGAATCTATCTTCACCTTTTGACTACAGCGGCCACAGGCAGCCAACAAGGTACAAATCGAGACTATGTTTGGCTGCACCCCATTGTTTTCCATTTCACGCAACACTTCCACGGCTTCAGCTAAATAACCATTAGATCCATAGGCATCAATCAATGCATTGTAACTTACCAAATTTGGCTTGCAATTGTTCCTTTTCATCGCGTCAAATATTTCCTTGGCCCTTTCAGGTTGCTGTGATCTTCCGTAAGCATTGAGTAATGATGTGTAAGATACAACATCCGGGCGAATCCCATTTTGTTTTATCTCATTAAAAACTGACAAGGCCCCTTCACTCATCCCATGTGAAGCATACGCACCTATTAGTGCATTATATGAAACAATATTAGGTTTCAGACCCTCTGCAAGCATGGTGTTAAAAACAGCCTTGCAGTTTTCAATCTGCCCGCAAATAGAATACATATGGATGATGCTAGTGAATGTAACAATATCGGGGTAGCATTCTGATCTTTTCTCCCTCATTGAATTGAAAATATCGATGGCTTTCTCATATTGTCCAAGCTTTACTAGGCAATATATCACAATATTAAAGGTGGTGGTGTCGGGGCGAATATTTGTTCCTTTTATCAATTCAAAATAGGACAGTGCTTTTAAGTACTGAGCCCCAGTTTTGAAAGCAGATAGAACAATATTGTGAGTCACCAGATCAGGCCCAACTCCGTTTTCAGTCATTTTCTTGCAAATTTTCAAAGCTTCTTTCCAATTTCCACTAGATCCACAGGCATTGATCAAGTTGTTATATGTTGACCTACTTGGAGGAATCTGCACCAATTTTTCCACGTGAGACACATATCTCATAGAGAAGATGTCAAGAAAAATTGCATGGTAAGTTTCAGCTTATGACAAGAAACAAAACAACGTAAAAATTGAACGGGTTGCCAATCATTAAATGATGATAACAACTTCATACATGGCATATATGTAAGTTAACCACTAATATAAAGCAGCATAGCTCATATCATCCAAAGCATGCATCTAAGCAGATATATTTTTAGAACGCATGCTTTGACTATTATGAATTTATGAGAAACCGCACAGAAATGTTTAATTTAAAGTTGTGACATGGTGACGCAACAGCAAGCTTGCATTCATAAGGATTCTCTGGAATTATTACCCCTTCTTTTAATACATAGCATGCCACTTCATTGGAAACAACATCACTCCAATGGAACATTTACTTAAATGCAAAATCTGCTGCCTCAATTCGTACATAAATACATACCATGACAAACTGAAAATTCCCAAGGTCAGGTTTGTATCCGGTCCACTTCTGGATGCAATTTTATTGCCAACAAAGAGAATATTTAAAAGAATATTGTGCAGAAAATTACAACCATAACAGGGACAAAATAGGAATTGATTCAAAATGACAAAGGTTTAAACTGATAACAGACCATTTTTACCACAGATATCATTCGCACTTGAAATAAAAAGAAAGATCACGTCAGACACAAAAAGATTGATTAGGAGAGAAGAATATAAATACACACAGCTGCATGAAGCATCTCTTCCATGATATTCATTGCCCAACGCCACTGGCCAGCTCGACCATGCGCATGGATTAGAGCATTGTATGTTTCAGCATCAGGCTTGCACCTAGCAGGCATACAACCAAAGTCTGAAGTAATGTCATTAGCGGAAAAACCAAGAAACCAATAGCACAAACTTTATACAGCTTGTAACATATTCCGAAAGTGGAAATGGAACATAGATATTCAAGGAATGTCTAACACTATCCAATACCTAGTTCATTGCACTGAAACCTACACCTAAACACTAGTTGTTATTTTATCCATGTTCTCACCCAGAAATATTCTGGGTGATGTTATTTTATTCATGTTCTCACCAAGAAATATTCTGTCACATGTGTAAGCTCCTTAAATACAACCTATCTGTGCCAAACTTTTTGCCAAAACACCTAAGCTGAGGGGCTGCTAAGAAACTTTTTGGCTGTCATGACTAAAGATAAAACTTCAAACTAACAATGTTATTTTTCATTACTAATAGACATAAATCTTGCGTGTCATTGTGGTTCGAACCTCACTTATGAGAAAACCACAAATCTTACAAGAATGACAGCAGCAACTAAACAAAGTTTGGCAACTCTATCTCTGATTGCAATCCTTTAACCATGAACACATCCTGAGAGCCTCTTTTGTGGAGGTTATACCTCAAAAGATGCACTTTCCGCCCTATTTCTCCGTCTTGGCAGTCGCCATCCAAAAAGGAATATTCAAAGCTTCCACTATGTGTTTACGTGTTCCCTTCTAGAGACCTTAAGTGTTCAACAATCCTTCATGAGGTCATAAAAGCCAGTAAGTCGGCAAATCAGAATCTAACAGCAAACAAGTACAGCATGTGATCATCACAACAGAAAACACGATCATCACAATAGAAAACATGATTATGATGCCAAAAGCTGATGCCATCTATCATTGTTGAAGTATAAAATTATTTAAGTTACACCTTTTCGAACAACTTAAGCTTTTGGAGTAGATGGTTATTTAACATGATATAGTCCTGTGTTCGAATCTCGCCGCCACTCTAATTAAAGATTTTCACTTGCTAGGCCCAAAATTTAGACCGCACGCACATGAAGGGGCATGTTGAAGTATATAAATATCTAAGTAACACCATCTCCAACAGCTTAAACTTTTGATATAGATGGTTGTTTAACAAACATGACTTGTGACAGTTCTCACTAACACCCTGGTCCAATCTATCTAGACATACCCAATAATAATAATTACATAAAAGATCTTGATGATCTATAATACACAGATACTTCAATTAGAGTGACGTATCTGCCCGTGCTGAAATATGTCCCATCAATGTGTATCATCTCATGTGCATACAATATGGGCTGGCTGAATTGGAATGAGTATGAAAATAAGCCTTCCCTTTAGAACAATTAGCGTCATCCAACCTAAAATCAATGATAATGAATGAAGAGGCCCACAAGCCTCATGTATAGTTTGAGAGGCTCTATTATACCATTGTGGGATAAGCTCCGTCATCACCTATAAGTGCAATCTCCAAACCATATTACACTATCATAGACATCACAAAGTGTACTTAACACAAACAAGGGGAAAGCAATATCAAATCAAACAAATTGAAATAGAGCCTTTCCCAAAGCCTTCTGAAGCTCAGCTATGATACACGTGGGAAGGAGGCAATCTGAACCAATTGCCAATGAATTGAGAGAGCCACAAAGATCATATAGTAGTTTGGGAGGCTCTATTTTTCTGATGAGGATCTAACAAGAACCATGCAATAAGAATACATGTATTAAAGAAAAGAGCACAAGCATACCTCCACTTCTGCATCTCAAAGAACAGACCACGTGCCTGGTCTGTTCGGTTATGTCTAGCATGTAACCTGATCATCATATTATAAATATCCTTCCGTGCACAGTAGCTCTTCTGATTCTTCATCCAACAGAAAACTTGATTGCAATGTTCAATTGAACCCATTTGAGTTATCTCCTGAACCAAGCAAAAACAAACAGCCATTTGTAGCTTTCTTACAATATCTATCCCTTTTCAACAGGACATCCCACATCAGCTTACTTGACATGTAAACAACTGTGGTATCAAAAAATTGTTAAAAATGCTTCTATTTTATAATACAGAAGGAGTTAGAAAACATAAAACAAAAAACTGCTTCGAAGCCCAATCAACACAATGGACGAATAGAATCCACGTCGCCGTCCCAAAAATGTTGGGACAAAGGCTAATAAGTTGAGTTGAGTAATAGTTTTGAAGCTAAGACACCAAAGGTATCTCCACCTAAATAAATGTGAACTGTGTAACTTAAGCTGAAAATGAATTCACATAGAAATTCTGCTGCAATAACCTTAATCATTCTTAAATTGCCCCAAGTTCTGTTGCTACTCAATCACAATGATGAAAGCACACTGCAGAACTCAAGGCTAAATAAGCTTAAAACATTAGTATCAGTCTTGCAATATCAACATATAAATTGATCACACCATGTTTTCACAATATTCACCCAAGCATTCAACAAATTCTAACCCATTATTAAGAAAGCTCAATAATTCCACTTACCCTCATAAGAACAGGGAAATTCTTTCTAGAAAACCGCCCGGCCCACCGGTTCAAGACACTTTCGACATCCTCCCAGTGATTGAGCTTCAAAATCTTTTCGACCACCTCAGAAATGGCCCAGTCCTTCTGAAACCTGTCCCCTTCAACCCTTAGCCTGTGCCGCTTCGGCAAATCTGCTTTTCTAAGCCCAATTACTTGTACGGACACCTGGTGTTCCCCTTTGTCATAGTCGACAAAGCCCTGCTTTGTTTCCTTGAAGGCGTCTTGGTTTCTGGGTTTTTGGCAGAGTACTTGTAGGGGTTTTGGGTGGGTTTTTGTGGGTTGGGGTGAGAGCGAAAAGGTGAACTTTGAATCGAGCTTGAAGAGCTGTAAATGGTGTAAGGTTTCCATGGACCTTCAGGAGAGAGAGCGTGTGGAGAAGAGAAGATAAATGATTGGCGAAGTGTAGTGATGATTTGCAATAGCTGATAATAACACCGATAGAGAAAAAAAAATTTTGACGAAGTATGAAAATTACCCCTTTTAAAGTCATGAATTACTTTTATTCAGTTGTTATTTCTTGTTTAAAATTAAAAATTATAACTTCTTTTAGTCATAACAGATCAGTGCTTGAAATTAATTGAACCGGGTTGTAAATCAGACTTAGGTGAAGTTCAACGAGTGTATGTGTATATGGGAGAACGATGCAAAAAGAAGATAGCAATACAAGTGGTTCACCTGAACTTAAAAAAAAGTTACGTATACTATAAGAAAAACTCTTGTTCCTTTGAAGAAGAAAATTGTTATATGTGTATATGGGAGAACGATGCAAGAAGAAGACAGCGATACAAGTGGTTCACCTGAACTTAAAAAAAAGTTACGTATACTATAAGAAAAACTCTTGTTCTTTTGAGGAAGAAAATTGTTATTACTAGTTGTTTTGTTGGAAGTCTTTACAAGATATTGCCTAAGTTTTACTTGAAGGTTTGTCGAATGGCTCCCTCATGCACTATAGTCCTTTGACTATTTATACCACTGATAATTAGGGTTTCGTGTTTGTCATGTTTGGATGATTTTGTGGTCCTTTTTTATGTTTATCATTTGTTCTAGAGTTGTGGTACTCAAAGCCTTTTTGTACCAACTTCTCGCTAACTATAATGCTTGATCCATCTTCATTACCTATGGATTTTTGGTCATCTGGTAATGTTCTCTTATCCCTGTCCATGTATCAATCTGCAATCCCCCGAGTTGATATCTATACCGAGCTTGTTAACGTTGACCTTTTCTAGAATTGGGCCGCAGCCCAATTCGAGCCCAAGAAATATTGATTGAATGAACTACTTTGGCCGTTCTCTCTACAAAGTTCAGAGAGTCTTGGGCTCTAAAGGGGTCTAGAATTAAACTAATCATTCTCATTTATAATTATAACTTATATTTTACAATTATTTTAAAAAATTATAATTTTTAATACAGTAGTAACTTCAATACCAATCTTCCTTATAATTGCTAGCCACACTATGATGATTTGCTAGTATCATATATCATTTTTTTTCACTAGAAATAAGCAAAAACATAAACATGTGATTTATGATTAGCATCCTAGAAAAACTGGCCTAACCCCCAATTTTCAGGGCGAGTTCAAAAAAAGGCATGTCATTACCCCAATAATATTAAGCTGCTTAAGATTTAACCCAAATTCGTACCGTCTTGTCGATTGTGAGTCCCAATAATTTAAACTATTTTCTCTTCCAAATTGTACCACACTACACCATGACAATCATACTCAAATTTGTATACCTTTTTAACTCCCAACGAGCCCCAAGTCAACGTTGCAACTCCCACCAACTCTTCTAGTGATAACTATTCCAACAAAATTTATTTCAACAAAAATATAATTATATTGCAGTATATTTTGAGCATACAAAACTAAATGAATTGAACCCCCTCTGTTCACACGAAACAACTTTGGAATGTCCTAGGAGCTCTCAAGTGCCTTTTTCAGGCGACAAGTGAAGTGATTGACGATATTATTCCGACAACTATAGAAGATATCCTATCAACGAAACATCTAAATGTCTTGTTCAACGCATAAACCACTTAGCCTTAGCAACACAATCATCAAACTCGATGACTTTAACACATCAAACATCAAGCAACATACTTCCCGGTTCTCACTCCCGTTCTTCTCAGCATTCTCTCATGTATTACTCTGTATGAGTTGGGGAAAAAATTTCACAATGCTTATACCAAGGCAAAAATTAAAGAATTTCAAGAAGAATTAATAGGCAAAAAAATTATGTGATTTGTCTTCGTTTAATGAAAGTGTTTGTATTTCAGAATACTTCGTAAATTAAGAAATGCAATTTAGAGAAAGTCATGAGAATGCAACATTCAAGTTTTCATTAAACAAGGAAAAATGAAGTGAATTAACGATTATGTGAATTTCATGCATACATGCAATTACAGTGCTCCTTCATAGCAAGATGTACAAGATTCTAGACAAATAACTCCTAAATATGTGGAATAAAACAATCCAAATGCGACATACCAAAGTTTGTATTAGTTATGTCAATTTGTCTGTTACATTTGAATCTCATCAATTTGATATAATCTATAATGTCTTCTACGAGGTTGTTGGTTTAGCAACAAATTCAAAAGAAAGGTGCACAAAGGTGATGTTGCAAAATGATTGAATTGAAAGAGGATCTACAAAAGGATGATATACAAAAAATCCAACATTCAACAGAGATATCATGCTATTATTTTATGATGCAAGTGCCTCTCAAGCATATTAGTAATTAGTTTAAAATACAAAGCGCACTATATATAAATTCAAAGAAAGAAGACAATTATTGTTATTACAACCACATCTTATAAAAGGCAAAAAGTCTCCCTTCCAAGAAAATGTGCATTCAGACACTTAAAAGCATCTCCCATTACATTCAAAGTAATAAACAACAAGTAGCACCCCCATGCACAAAACAAAATAGTTTTGCCATTAAGCTTCACTATTGATGAGCTTTCAATGACATTCATGGAAGGAGTTATAGGTTGTGTGTACTGATGCATTTTATCTTAAGTAATTATAGCTTGAATGTATTCATCGCCTCAATTGATGAAGTTATTACAAGACTGTACATTTTACAATAAAATAAGTGAGTTTATGATCTTTTAAAGTAGTGTTGCACAAATGAACAGTTAGGGATATATTATCAACCCTAATAAGCCAAGTTAATATTTCATCTAGCTGAATTCACTTAGGTCACGCCTTGATTGCTACCTAACCCCTTGTGTTGGTGTCCAAAATGTGTATGTATTTTGTAAGCTGTTTGATCATCTGAAATCCTATTTTCTGGTGAAGCTGAGTGGATTGATGCTCGGACTTATCGTGATGATTTATCTTTTGCTTCAGGTTGAATGAATACAAAAGGGAGATCATTCAAACAAAAAAAGAGGTCATTAATGAAGAAGTAGTGAGCCATTAATTCACAAAGATAAATGAGTTCACACGAAACTGAGAAAACTCGTAATAAAAAGGTGGGTTAGTGAAAATGAATTTCTAATCAACTAGAAATAAGGAGGAAGTGGATTGGTCAAACTAAATCAAACTAAGAGACAAAGATTCCCTCGAGGGAAAGAGCTACCACGACAAGTCTGAGTGGAGAATTTTTGATATATTGAGGATACAATGTAGAGAATTTTATTTTTGAGGATGTAAAATAAAAATCTTTAAATCTGCCAAGGTACAAAGTGCGATTCTCCAAAAAAATAAAATAAAAAAATGCCTCTATTTAAAAATTATGACTTTAACTAGTGGGTCCACTAGTAAACGGTCCTTGTCCAAAACGGCTTTTATAGTTTTACGCCTACACTCCGAACTTAAAACCCTAAACCCTCACTGCTCCTGCTACTTACACCTCAAAACCACCCCCACTTCCTCCATGGACGAAGAACAACAAGAACACAAAGAAATCACAGACACAGCCTTTAACGACAAATCAGATTTATGCCAACAACTGTTAAACCGTTATGGCAAGTCCTCCGCCCTGCAGCACCGCCACCTCTGCGCCACCGCCGCCGCCACTCGTTCAATAATTCAATCCGAATATTTACCCCTGACTCCGCTGTCTTATTTCGCCGCCACAATATCCGCCATTGCCGAAACAGCGAAAACCCTGGACATCAATGCGGTGTCGGCCTTGTCTTCGTTCTTTGCTATTGTGGTCCCTTTGGTTCCGGGAAAGGCGATTGCGAGCGGGAAGGCGAGTGAGGCGGTGAGTGTGCTTGTAGAGATGTTGGAGAGTAAGACTATGGGGACGGCGAGTGTGAGGGCTGTGATTAAGTGTTTGGGGGTTTTGATAGGGTTTTGTGAATTGGAGGATTGGGATTCGGTTAAATTGGGGTTCGAGACACTACTTAAGTTCTCTATTGATAAGCGTCCAAAGGTATACCTTTCTCTATACACGGCTTTGTATGCATATATGGTGATTATGAACAATATATATTATATGAATTTCCTGTTGTTTTTTGGCTAAACTTCGCATTCAAAAAATGAATGAATTGATCATTAGCATCGTCGAACTTGTTGATTATGGTCTTACGGTTGAAAATGGAGTATAAATAGGACATTTGTGAACTATGCTTATTACATATAAAATGAATTAAGAAAACAACACTGCATTGCATGATGAGTTTAGGCATTGACTTCACTTGATTGGGTTCCGGTTTGAGTATGGACTTCACTGGAATTGGCTTCTGGGTAGACAAACGCCTGTTGCCTGCAATTTCTAGTTGCTTCTCAAAGCATCACTCTACCCGAGTTGATATTAATTTTATTATCAATATAGAATAACTAATTTATTGAGTCGCCCTAATTGTATTTTGTCTTTGGCCCCTTATTTTTTTTGATAACAGACAAACTTTCATTTCATAGAAAGGGGAAAAGTACAAAGAAGGCGGATGAGGAATCCACCCAATAAGAAACGAAATACAAAAATAAAATGAGCTAGATGCTGCTTTCTAATTATGTTGTAAGACTAACAAAGAAGTGTCACAAACTGTTTTGAAATTACCACCCAAAGAGAAGCTAAGGGACTGTTTGGTAATTGTTTTTGTCTCATGTTTTGTGTTTTGTGTTTTGTGTTTTTGCTAATTGTTTTTGTTTCATCTTAGTTGTTTTGGAAGCAAACCAAAAATATGGGAACAAAAAAATTGTGTTTCAGGAAATACCCAAAATCCAAAACACGCGTTTTGGAAGAAGAGGCATTTTAATGAGGTCTTACCTTCGACTCTTGTTAGCCACAAAATACCACATAATTTGATGAACTATAAATATGAGGCTGTTTGGTAATTGTTTTTGCCTCTTATTTTGTGTTTTTGCTTTCAATTTTTTGTCAAAAATGAAAGCAAAAAAATGTTTGATAATTATTTTTGTTTTTTGTTTCATCTTAGTTGTCTTGGAAACAAATCAAAAAAATGGGAACAAAAAAATTGTGTTCCAAGAAACACCCAAAACACAAAACATGCGTTTTGGAAGAAGAGGCATTTTAATGAGGTCTCACCTTCGACTCTTGTTAGCCCCAAAATACCATATCATTTGATGAACTATAAATATGGGGACTGTGTGGTCTTTTTTCATTTTCGTTCTCACAAAGCTCTCTACGTGTGAACGACTCTCTTCTCGTCTCTCTCTCAACGACTTTCTTCTATGTGCTCCTTGCGGAAGACGAAGGAGCTCTTTCTCTCTTCGTATATATAAGATTTTTACAGCGTATTTCTCTCCCTAGAAAAAGCCCTAAAATCTCGATCTGAGAATTTTTAGGGTCAAAATCTTGAGTATCATTGTGCTGTGTGCTTTTGCCCCACCACTACGAGTTGCACCCAGTATAAAGCTATTCGATACTGGTATGGTAATTCTTAACCCCTGTTTGTGAAATTTTGTGAATAATTTGGTTGATTAATTTTTTTTTTTTTGTGTTTCTCGTATTTGGCTAGAATTTAAGTCGGTTATTAGTGACATTTTTCTGTTATGGGGTAAAATTTGGAACAATGTTTAATTTGGTTTTGTGGTCCAGCACATGATTATATGTTTGCATGTTTTCGGTGTAGGAAATTGTGGATGATTTTTATGGAATCAACTTGATTTTTAGACTGTATTTTTGGAGAGGACTGGGTGGGATAAAGGGCATTTGGCCAACACAAATTTTGGGGAGGATTTCCATTCTTTGCTATGTCTTGTTCAAAACCAATATTTATACCAAACAGATGCTTGAACCAAAAGAATGAAAGAGATCAGTTAAAAAATAAAGTGCAAAAATGGCGGAAGGAATTTTTCGTGTCTGAACTATGACTTTGATCAACAAATGTATTTTGTTTTCTTCCGTTGTAACTAATAAACTTCCAAATGATCTCCGAAGATGAAATTGATTGAATTTTCATTTGGGACTGTTGACCATATCATTAATTTATCAAATTAATTCAATTTGTTAAGTCTCAATATCATTGTTGAAAGAAAAAACAGGAGACTTAAGGATATAACTTGAAGTAGTTATCAAACATATTTTTAGTTTTTATTCTCATAATTTGATAGACACAAATGACTCCTAAACATGTTTTTTGTTTAAGTGTTTTACCACAAAATAGAGACGAAAATTGTCTCTGTTTTTTATTTTTTTGAAGACGCGAAAACAAAAACGTTACCAAATGACCCCTTAAGTACTTCACTTTGTCCTGCAAATAACTCTATATCCTCCTCTTTGTTTTAAAAAAATTATGCGATTCCTCTCCAATCAAATTACCCACAAAATAGCCGTAAAAGTATATTTTCTTAGCGTCGATGCTTTTTTCCCACTCCCAAAGTCTTTTAAACGCACCACAAATAGAGACACATAATCGTGAGGTATAACCCATTTCACTTCTGCTTCTTGCAAAAAGCCTATGGGACAATGAAGGACAAATGACCAATACATTCACCACTTTCTTTACATGGAACACACTAATTAGGTGAAATATAAATGTTAGGCCTTCTTTTTTGCAATAAGTCACAAGCATTCACTTTACAATGAGCAATCATAGAAGCAAGTACTTGCACCTTATCAGACACTTTAGCCTTCTAAATCACCCAATGAGGTTCAAAGAATAAATGATTATTAACATCAATTAATATTGAAAAAAGAAACTACAAGAAAAACAACCAAAAGAATCAAGATACCAAACTATTTTGTGATTAACCATGGAGTCCAAACGAACCAATTGAATCGAAGGAAGAAGAGATGACAGCTCCAATGTTTTTCAATCATTAAGATTGCGGAAAAATTGAAATTCCACCCATCATGATTAAAAGAAAGAGAAATACAACTCAAACTTTTCATAGATGCATTATGGGACCGAAATAACCCATAGAATCGAGGAAACAAAGAAGCAATAGATGACTCATCCTTACAAATATCTTACCAAAAACGAATTCTCTCCCCATTTCCCACTCTCACAAATGCTTTTTAAAATCCTCCAATCTTTGAGAGATAAATTTCTAAGGATTACGAAAGGAACCTCTACTCATTATATTCGAGTCCTACCATTGGAATGGATTCCATACTCACTTTTGATTATAGAATGCCACAAGGAATCAGTCTCTAATGGAAACTTTCAAAGCTATTTTCCAACAAATCTACATTGCTCTTCCGGTTACCAATTGCCAAACCCTTTTTTGGTTTTGATTTTGTCATAACCTCCTATCATATTAAGTGATTTTTCTTCCCTTCCTGCCTTTTTCCCATAAAAATTCTCTCATCATTTTCTCTAAAATCGTTGCTACCTTCCTATGCAACTTAGAGAGACTCATAAAATACGTAGGAATAATATCAAAAACCGCTTGGTTCAAAGGAAGCCTCCCACCCCTAGACAAACATCCTTTCTTCCCTTCTTCGAACTATTCAACATTTTTTGCACCCTCTCAACAACTGGATTCCAAAAATTTGAGGACAAAGGATTATATCCATTGGAAGGCCAAGATATTTTAATGGCCGCTCACACACTTCACATTCCATCCCCTCGCCAAACCTTCAACTTTAATCCTAGGGGCATTAATGCTTGCAATAGAATTATTAGATATATTTACTTTCAACCTTGAAACCAAACTAAAAGTACTCCCAATGACAAGTAAATTAAATTTTTTTTTGCTAATCTCTTGATAAGGAAAAAATGGTATAATTAGCAAATTGAAGATAAGACATAGTAACCCTATCATCGCCTACTAAGAAACCTTCCGCTAAGCCATATTCTCCATTTCTCTATCCACCAATCTTCATCGTATATTTTGCCACTTTTACTTGGCCTCCTAAATGTGGATTTTGAAGCTTTGCCCCTACGCTTGAGAGTCATATTTAACATCTGTTTATCCCTATGTAATCTTGCATTTTATCGCCTCCCACATTGCTGGAGCTTCAACCTATGGGTCTTCTTAGCACCAACCAATTGTGGCTTACCTTCTCCCTGTTATTGTATTATTGCCCAGATCTCCTTCCACATTTAGTCTGAGCCTCTATTTCCTACTAATACCAAGAAATTCCACAATCTAAGGACCTCATTGGTACTCACTTACCATGGGCAATAACTATGCACAAACATGCACTTTTAAAGACACTTTTCCCTTCCAAATCTTCAATGATGGTTCGAAAGAAAGAAGTAAATGATCATCGATTAAAGACTCAAAGAAAAATTTACAAGAAAAAATATGCGATGGATCACCAATCCAATACCTCATATCCTCCAAATTAGGAGTCAACATAACATTTTTAAGCAAAAAAAATAGACCCATCAATTCTGAACATTTTGAAAAAAAAATAAAATTTCGAACATTCCCTATTATTAAGACTTCTATGAAAACCAAAGCCCCAAGACTTGTCTTTTTTTTAATAAGATTTTTTATTAATCTTAAATAGTAGTGCAATAGTGAATGCGGATCATCTCTTTATCTCTGGCAGCAAGACTAACTCGGATGGGCCTTTTTATAAAAATATTTCAAATTGAAGTAATGATTTTGGGCTTAGTTTTTCGTAAACCGTGTTCCTTACCAAAATTATTCTAATTCTCCCGGATTACTGGTATTTTCCCATCTTGATTCTAAGCACCCTCATATGTCCTTTGCAATCCTGTAAGCCAACTTGACCTAAATTATACTGTTCCTCGCATATCCCCCAATCGACTCTTTGACTACTAATGCTTAGAATTATTTCTACTTTAAAGGCTACAGAATACTGATAAGCATCCGTAAGTATAGTACTCTTTGATATTATTTTGCTTACTGTTTTTGGTACATAAAGGAAGAATGCCGCTTCATAAAATTATTCCCGCCCCGGTATTGAACTAGTAGAATTGGCTTCTGGGTAATTGAAGAAATGCATTTTCCAGTAATATTTTGTTGCTGGCCAAAGGCATTGGCTATCACCATGCCCTAGTTTATTGTGATATAATTGTAGAGGAGCTATTGCTACACCTAAAATTTTTGATAGAAAACATACCGACAATGATTTTCATTAAGATAAACAGCTAGTACCAGTTCAATGGAAACTAATGAGACTGGTGATTATCATCTTCCCTTTTGTTGTGTTATATTTCATAAGTGAATGATGGGATGTAAGTTTATATTGATGGTTATGGTCTTTGATGTTGAATGATGGGAAGTAACTGTATATTGGCGGTTAATTGGTTGTGATCTTTGATGTTTCATAGTTTGTATGGTTTCAATATTACAGGTCAGGAAATGTGCTCAAGATTGTGTTGTGAAGGTTTTCAAGTCTTTTGACTCATCCACTGTTATTAAGGAGGCAAGCAAACTGGTATATTCCTTACTTATTAGTCACATGCCTTTGGCTGTTGAAATAAGTGCATCAAGGGCTTTACATGGATCTAGAGATGAGTCATTGTCAAAACCTGAGCAACTAGAGGTCCTCCATATGCTGAATGTGCTGAAGCTTATTGTTCCATTTCTCTCTGTCAAAGTTAGTTTAAAAGTAATTAAGGACTTACAAAAGCTCATGAGTTGCCAGTTCTCAGCTTTGACAAGGCACAATTTTGATATCATTGAAGCAATGCACGCATATTCAAGACCTGAAGTTATAATTCGACAGGCCGATACCATCATAAACTCCCTTGCTTCGTACATATCCCTGGGAATGAACCCTGTGGATACTGTTTTGTCAGCAGCTAATTTGTTAAAAGTTACTTTCGAGAAACTATATGCTAGTGAGCCTAGCAATTGCACCAGACATTTCCCTTTGGTGTTTCGCTCTATTACAGGTAAGATGTCATTATGTTATTCTAATTTCCTTATTATCAATGCCTCTGGCAGATTCATTGTACTCTTCTAGGATTGTTTTGAACGTCACTCCTCATATTCTGTTGCTTGGTTAATTAGTTGGTAAAGGTTAAGATAGAGGAGGAGGAGGAGCTTTAGAATTTCCAGGAATCTCCTCTAAAAAGGATTAATGGAATCTTACCATGTGAAAAGTGCAAAATCTTTTAGAGCTTCTCATTGACAGTAATATAGAACACAAACTTTGAAGTTCAAGAACTTGTAGTGAACAAAGGATACTAAATTAATCAAAATTAACAAATCTTGAAAAAAAAAGAAAAAGAAGAAGACTTCAAACACCATTAACAGCATGCCTACTGACCTGAATTTTGCATGATCCGACGGCCAAATTTAACTGAAACTAGCCTTCAGTGCTGTGACTTAGACCACAAAGTCAGAAAAAAGGACAGAGAAGTTTTCAATTATGCGACACCATATTGTATGTATCATTCTCTTTCTAGGGCCCTCCTAAAATTTCTCCTTTTCCCTCATTTCCCAGCTGATTGCTATCCAACAGCCTGCAGCCATTTAGAGGTCACATTTACTCTCCATGTTTTCTTCATTTCCTTTCCTTCGTTTTTTTTTTTTTGGGTTTTTGGCTATGCCCGAAACATGCCACTCAAAGACTCTACTAAGATAAAGATGGGCTGTCAAGACGTAGAGGAGGTAGGATGGGTAGATGCTCAGATCTTTCTGTAGTTTTCGTTTCCTTTTTAGTCTTCCAAAGTTTTGCAGTATGAAAAATAAATATTAACTTTTTATGTGCTGAATAAATATTTCTTCTGAAATGTGATGCACCCATGTTGTTGTGGCCATTGCTTATTTAGAGAAAATAAACCCTCTTTGGAGGTGTAAAGAATGCTTTAAGTCTTGTGCAAACTCCAAAGATATTCTGGTTTTATAAGTATTTTTATATCCCAAGTTGTATTCGGTAAACTTATTATTTTGGTGTTTTCAAATAAAAAAAGAGCAGCCCAGGGCATGAAATGTGTGCAGTCTTACCCCTGCATGCATGCAGACAGACTGTCCTGCGACTTTCTTGTAGTTTTCAAATCTCATAGTAATTTATAATTTGAGTCATTCGAAATAATTATGCCCTTTTGCATGTGTCATGTTTCTACATAGAGAGCCCAAGTGGTTTTTTTAAGGCCCCAGGGATTTTTTTTTTCTTTTTTTGGGGGGGGGGGGGGTTGGGGGGGGGACCATGTGAAAATAGGAAGAAAAGAATAAATACAATTTACTTGTTGAAGATGTTGAAGAGGGTTTGAGTTTGTCGGCTTGCCACACATTCTCTTGTGAGCGAAGCTGATGACCAACTTGAAAGAGGAAGCAAGTAGAACTTTCTTTATTGGAGTATTATTTAGATTGAAGATGGGAAGACTGGCATCAATTAAATATTCATTTTGAAATGGCCTTCCACATTTCCTTTGCAGTCTGTAGCACAATCAGGTACATAGGTAGGTATTAAAAAGAGATGTCCGATGCATATTTACAGTTAGTGTATTCATTATATTTATTTGAAGAAACATCTAATTCCTTCATTTATCTTCCACTTGGCTTGTGGATCAAGTTAGCGCCAGGATGTTGTTCTACCTGAAAAGGATGAAAGAAAACTTTCACGTCCATTTGTTTGGGGGTGGGGGTTTCTTCTCAAACGTGGTAACTTCCAAAGGATAGGTTCCTATCGATAATTCATTGCTTAGATATTCCCTCATTCCTTAGAAGAAATGTGGGATTCTACTAATCGCGGCTTACTGTGGCGTATGTTAGTGCTAGTGGTGTGATGAAATAGCCAGATAATTTCGTCTTCTAGTAGTTTATTTGGTTAGGAGATTAAGGTGGGTTATTGCTCACCTGGAGACCTAGGGGTCTATCCGAGATAGTTAACCCCACTTGAGGGAGTGATAGTCATCAGTTCGATCTGCTATTTAGCCGTTGTAATAATAATAATAATAAAAATAATAAAATGAAATAAAATGGCTCACCTGGCCAAAGTTTCCATTTCCAGTGTAAAATAATACAATTTTTAGAAGCTTGTTGATATGTACAAATCCATAAATCCATCAATTTTTCATTGGCTCATTGATTCTGAGGCTTAAGCAACTTCACGTGATTTACCTTCCGGAAAAAAAAAAAAAAAATCTTCATGTGTTTGTCTGCGGCAGTCTTAAGAGTCTTTTGCTTCACTTTACCTCTTTCCATTTTTAATCATCATTAATCTTTCCGTGTTAGCCACATTCTTGTAAATCGCTTCCACCCTGGTATTTAGAGTAATTATACCCCAGTTGTTACGGGATCCGAATTTCCTGCTTGTTAAGGGGTACGAAATATGCAATGCTTGTATCTTTTAAGAAAGGGAAAATAAACTTGTTTCTCTAGCAGATCTAATGAATATTTAGACTGATGAGCATCGACGCTGGATCCTTATGGTTATGCTCTGTTAGACAAATAGGCGCAATACTGTAATTCTCAATTGCATTGTATCACATGCGTTAATTATATGAATAGTCATTAGTTTTCGTTATCAAGTTTTAATGCTAATATTTGTTTTGCATAATGTACAGGTTGCAAAGTCTAACTTTATACATGTGTTTAGGTCTTCTACTTTCTGAGGCTAGTACTGCTTCACAGGCTTCACAAATTTTGCAAGAATTGATCAACTGCCATATTGATAGAAATCTTTTAATCATTGAAAACCAGCCAGTTGATAATGTAGCTGTGTGTAACACAGAAACAACTGCAATAATATCTACGTGCACTATCTTTGATAATGTGCTGAGCTCCTGTGGTGGGATCCCTAATGAACATATTTTGGCAGTCTTATCAGTTTTGTTCCTAAAACTTGGTGATATCTCATCCTTCTATATGAAGGGTATACTTCTTAAACTCTCCGAATTGTTGACCATTGCTGTTAGGAATACATCTGACACAAAACATCTCCAGAAGTGTATTGGATCTGCAATTATTGCGATGGGACCGGAGAAACTCCTTACCCTGTTACCTATTACTTTTAATGATGAAGATCTCTCCTGTTCAAACATTTGGTTGATTCTTATTCTAAAGAATTATGTTATTGGATCATCTTTAGGGTTCTTTATGGACCATATTGTGCCTCTCGCAGAATCCTTACAGCAAGCCTCTCATAAAGACAAAAAGCAAGTGATTGGACAGGATCTGCGGGATCATGCCCATTGCTGTTGGGAATTGTTACCTGCCTTTTGCCGCTATCCCACTGACATATACCAAAATTTTGGCCGCTTGGCCAAACTCTTACTTCCTTTTCTCAAGAAGGACTCCTTTATGCTCCAAAATGTTGCCATTGCTTTGCAGGAACTTGTGAATCAAAACAGAAGAGTCCTTTTATCTAATACGGCTGCCAGTGATTTTGCAAACCTTCCAACATCTGAAGTAAATATAGCGTTCGAAAGTAAACCATCTTATTCAAAGAAAACTGCAAGCAGGAATGTCAGGGCTTTGGTCTCATGTTCTGAGGAGCTGCTTTTGGCTTTGACCGATGTTTTATTCGATTCACCTCCTGAGAAGCGCTCTTTTTTAAAGAATGCAATTGGAAGCTTAGCATCCATTACTGATTCTTCGGTAGTTAGAAAGATTTTCATTTCATGTCTTGAGAGATTTCAGCTCGTCGACGATTTAGGTGAATGTGGAAAGCTGGTGAGTCATACCAATGCTTCTGTAGATGAAGAACAAAGCAGTTCAATTTCTATGGGGAAAGATATGAAGAGGTGTATGATACTGGAATTAGCATCTTCTATTGTTGAAGGAGCTAGTGAGGATCTCAGCAATCTAATCTTTAACTTCATTAGACACGCTTTGCAGGAGGCTAATGAGATTGTTCAGCGCGAGTCATATCACACTCTCAGCAGAATTATAGAGGAACATTCTTCATTTTGTTCTTCTCGATTTGTTGAGCTGATGGATTTACTACTCAATCTGAAATCCCCTGTTGATATCTTATCACTGAGAAGTCGTTTCACTTGCTTCCAGACCTTGTTGGTTCACACAATAAAGAGAAGTTCGGATGATGAAATTGCAAAAGCTTTTCTTATTCTCAATGAGGTTATACTTGCATTAAAAGATTCCAAGGAAGAAGGCAGGAAAGCTGCTTATGATACCCTTCTCAAGATAAGTTCCATCTTGCAAAACTCATCGTGCACGACTGATGATGGACCTTATCACAAACTAATCAGCATGGTAAGTGCATCACTAATTCACTATGTATATGTGTATAGATATAGTCTAATGTAAAGCATTATCTCTATGTTGATGTGTATAGTTGTCTTATGTAGCCTATTTGTAGCATTTAATTAGTGGTATTGCCTACCATGCTTGATATTCTATATTGTCAAGCACAAAGCAAGGTGATATTGAAGAGTGTTGTGTTTTAGAAGAAAATATTGGGTATATATAATGACTAGAAAGTCTGGTGCTTTCGTGATAATTATTCTTGACAACTTGTAATTAGTGTCCATGTGCAAGCTAGTGTCTCTTTTGAATAACACGGTAATTAGTGCTGTACTGAAAACTTGTGCGAGATATACAGTTCTGCTGTTTGAATAAGAATCTTGTTGCATCATGCATGGTAGTCAGTCTAGCTTAACTAAGGAAAAAAAGGGGAAGACAAAAAATTCAGGTAGTCCCGGAAACCCTTCTTCAGTCCATAAAACAAGGTTTAGTCTAGGGGAGGAATTCGAGTTTGTATGTAAGATATTACATGTGAACCAAATGCCAGGGACCAGGGATGAGTGGAGAAAATGGATGGATGAGAACTTCAGGTGATCCTGTGACGGGTTTGGGCACTGAAGTAGAGTTCATCTGTACAGTACAAACTCTGGATTGTCATGGTGACAGTACCAGGACTCCACTATATTAAGGTTGTTGTAGCGTATTTGGATGAGGACCCTTATTCATGGGTCACTTTTCATTAGTTTCTGGTACTTGCGAATATAGCGGTTGATTGAGAGCATTTCCATGATGGGCACGGGTGCATGGTTAACATCTTGTGGCCCATGTCACTGTATCGGCTACACTACGAGCCAACGCCATTTTATTGAATAGTTCCCAGCTAATGATAAGAGTTGTAAACTGTAATTCTTCAAATTCAAGTCATTTGTGACATGATTAGCTCTGACCTTCATAAGCATATCCTTTATTTCAGCTCCCAATCCTCCTAACCCCAAATATCTTGGTTACTTGGGTTATGACAGAAAACTTATGCTTGTTTTGAAGGTGCATTCGACTAATCTCAGTTCCCAGTGGATTGCCTCTTTAGTTTTTATTTTTTACCCAACAATTTTTGTGCATCTTGATTGAGTTTTATCCAGGACTGAAGTTAGTCTTATCCTGCCTCTCTAGATCAAGGTACTCAAATTTATGTTTGTTTGGCTTGAAATGTCCACAAGAATAAGTGGATCTAGAACTTCGTGTTTAGTTTAGCTCTAGAAGTGTGTACGGTTGAGACACCGCCAGGTTTCTTCATGCTTTGTCCACTTTGGCTCAATCAGAGCATACATGTGTCCGCCATTGATCTAGCCACCTTTGTTGGCATTATGCCACATGTGCAGATTTAGTTGAGGCTATTCACCTCGATATTTTTGCAGTCTTCAAATTTCCCACTCTTAATGTGCAAAATGACGTTTCTCCACTCCCAATAGTTCTAGCTTCTTATGCACCACATCAAGTACTATTTTCTGTTCTATTTCTTTTTCCCTGGAAAGAACCACATTGGGGTCCTATATTCTGTTTCCTTTCCTCCTACCCTGAAAGAACTACCTCGGTGCAAGTAAGAAGCCCACTGCATGTAGTCCATGCTCTGCAGAAGGTTCCTGTTTTCCTTTGCAGTTCTAGACAAGTTGATTGTACACAATTTCTGATTGTGAAGAAACTAAGAGGCATTTGGCAGGTTGGAAGAGGCAATAGATTTGAAAGTGGAACGTTGATCTGCATCAAGAGCACCCTCTATAGCCTAGCTTTGTAGACCATGTCCCTGTTTTGTATTCTGGGCTCGGTTTAGGGACTTCTTATGTGAAGAAAATTAGGGGTTCAAATGCCATTTGGTGCGATGAGACAAAGTTTTAAATCAATTAAAGAAAGGGGCCTTGGTCCAAAAAGTTGAGTCTTTGACCAAGCTCTTCTAGGGAAATGGCTTTAGAGATATGCAAAAGACTGAAAGAGGATGGCAGCTTGTGGGAACGATGAAACAGGGAGATTGGAGGCCTAGGGAGGTTAGAACCTTGATGGCTCTTTGGAAGACAGTGGTAAGGGGATGGAAGGATATTGCAAAATATGTGGTGATGATTGTTGGCAATGGTAGATGGACAAGGTTTTGGTATGCCACACGGCATGGATATCGGTATTCGGGTGGCAGATATCCTGACAGATATGATGAAGTACCCAGGCAGGTCTTCCATGGAGGAGGCTTTGGGGCATGAACCCTGCTTTTAAGGTGGCTTTTTGGGTATGGATTGCTGCTTTGGAAGGGAGCCATTCTTACCATAGACAACTTATTGCATAGGAAAAATATTGTTGTTGCTTGTATAGAAGGATGAAGGAATTGATTCACCACTTATTCTGACATCGTGATACTGTGGGAGATTTGTGAATATGCTCCTGGTTTTGTTTGGTCACGAGGATGGTTAAAGAGTTACTAGCTAGTTGGAAAGGAAGTAGCATCAAGAGTAGTATTAGTAGAAAGAGATGGGATGCAACTCTTCTTTGTCTCATGTGGACTTTACATATGGAAAGAAAAAGGAGATCTTTGGAAGGGAAGGGGCCGATAATACCTGCACTGCAATTTCTGTTGAGTTTTCTTGAGCTCTTTTGATAAACTCGAGGAATTCATTGGAACTTTTGTTTTGGCCTTATTTTATGTGTGTTTCTCAAGGTTCTTTTGTATACTCCACATGAAGTTTAGTTTTGTCCCTGTTTAATGGATGAGCATTCTATTTGGAATCGTTAGAAAGAATAATTAATGTTCTTCAAGCATTGTGCTTCAAAAGTTGACACTTGTTCCATAAAATATCATCAATGCCAAGTTGGGGGAAATAAATCCATTCACCCAACTAAACCAGAATGTAGGAGATTTTCTGCTAACCATAGTCTCCTAATTCTATAAACATCTTTCTATTAACCATTACCTCCTAATTGTCTAAACACCCACTTCTTATAGTTGGGAAGAAAACAGACGGCTCTATTTTCTCTGGAATGACAGTGTTTCACTCGTACATCAAGTTTACGATCAGTGTTGGATGCTTAATGTGGTATCTCCAGCTTGATAACAAGGCACTTGGGTCCAGCATGTGTTACTTGTCAGAATCCCCAAGATATCAAGGTTTAAAGTAGGACTTGGTTATCTAAACCATATTCGGAATTCATTTTGATGGATAGGATTTTAATGTGGTTTTTCCAAATACGAAACCAGTTGATGTCTTTTCGAGTTTGTCACAATGATTATTGAGGTCTTTCAATTGAAGAAATCATGTTTTCTGTGCTAGTTAGGAAGAATTATACTTTTGTTGCAAGCTTGTTGTGCTGATCTGAGGTTTATTTTGTCTCTTTATTGATCTCAGTTGTGTGGTAAATATGGTAATTTGTAAATTATTTTTGGTTGCATTTATTCCTTGTTCCAATGAATTTTTGCAACTGCACATTCCTTTTTTGCTTTAATTGATATCAGTGTAGCAAACTTTCAGATAATGGGCTATCTCTCTGGTTCCTCTCCGCACATTAAGAGTGGAGCAGTGTCTGCACTCTCTCTAATGGTATATAATGATCTGAATGTCTGTTTTTTGATACCTGATCTGGTCCCATCAGTTCTACAATTGCTGCAGAGTAAAGCTGTGGAGGTCATAAAAGTGAGTATCCTCCTCTAACTCCTATCTCAAATTCTTAATACTTCTGTTACTTGAAATGGTTACGAATTGTTGATGCAAATTAAACAGGCTGTTTTAGGCTTTGTGAAAGTATTGGTGTCGGGACTTCAAGTAAAAGATCTGCAAAACTTTCTCTCCGGTATTATTAATGGAGTTCTTCCATGGTCATCTACTTCACGGCATCATTTCAGATCAAAAGTATGTTTACTTTTTATGCACAGATGTATTTATGTATGGATGCATGTTTGTGCTTACGCATTTTTTGTAGTTCTTATAATTTCCTTCTTTTATGAACAATTCTTTTTAGATCTTTAATGTGTATGTTTCATTGTAATTACAGGTCACGGTCATACTAGAGATTGTGATGCGGAAGTCTGGTTCTGCGGTAGTTAAGTTACTTACACCTGATAAATATAGAAATTTTGTGAAGATCGTTATGGAGGTATTACTTCCGTCATTCCCCCTATCTTTTTATATGGCATTGTCTGAACATAATTTCCTGGAGACTCGGTTAAATAGCTTACTTGGTTTTAGTTTTAGCTCAATCACGTAAATGTCTTGGTAATATTTTTGGCAGTTTTTTGTAGTGATTCTGTTATGCTCATAAATCACACTGTTAATGTTAATAGTTGGACATCATATGTCCAGTGTGTGTCTCGACCACATCATATGACCAATGTGTGTCCAGCACATGGTTCTGAGTTTTTTGCTTATTCATTCTTTGTTTTTATCTCACTCTTGGCTATTATAGCGTCTCTTTTGCTACATCTATTCTTTTCATTTTCATCAGTTTCTAAAGTACCATATATTTTGACTGTTTTGGGTTCTCATTTTTGTGAAGTCCGTCTAAAAGAAATATATGTTCTTACAGCTGAGAAATCTATAATGAAACATTAAGTATTTGTTGAAACCCATAGAAGATAGCCATGTATTCAGCTAAATATTTTTGTTTTTGTTTTGTTAATCACATTCCACTTTACAGTGAGAACAGTATTTTTTGATGAGGTCTTAAAGAGAAAACTTAACCTGACTGGTGATGATATGATACGAGTAACAATGCACTATAAATATGTGGAGTCATAACTTGTTGAGGAGCTGTGCTCCTTCTGTTCTAGGTCCAGATGGCATTGTAAGTGTTAAGTTCTTTTTGATCTTTGCTTCTATAATATTACTATATATAATGCCTTTTCCTTTGCAGAATCGTCATGGTAAGGCAAACTCGAGAGAAGATGGCACTACTGAAGCAGAATCGAAATCTTCAGATTTCTCTTCGATGGGGTCTGTTCTCTTTACAAAACTGTTGAAGTTCTATTTCAATTCGTTTTCGATCCCATTCCACTTTAGGGTTAAACTTCTATTTCTTTTAGGCGGCAGAAGAGGAAACGCGAGGAATCAGGAAGTTTACCTAATAAGGATAACACCCAAATGGAATTCAGAGATAGGAAGAGGGGGAAGAAACAGCAAGGCGCTGCCTCCGGTACGAATGAGCCTCACATATCTTCTGGTTCTTTTAACCGTATGAAAAGGCTGAGAAAGCCTGGATATCCTGATCATGGTAAACCGAAAGAGGGTCAGCTACAAGGGGGTAAAAAGAACAGAGGGATAAATTTTAACAAGGATCACTCGAGCAATGGAAATAGAAAGATTGACCGGACAAAAACGAGCAAGAAAAATGTTAGCAGACCTACTGTTGGCTCCAAACAATCCAAGCAGAGAACAGTGGAGAGGAAACAGCAGGAAATTAGTAATAAGAAGTGATGTGCAGGAGTTCGGATATTTGATGCTTCAGTGTAGCAAGTCGTGAAAGCGCACACATTTTCTCCTTTTAGCACTACGCGTGGAATTTCAATCGGAACCTCTGAATTACAAAGAGCAATCTTCTGGGAAGCCGATGCCTGCTGAATGAACAATGATGTGGCTTGTTTATTCAGATACCAGTTGACTGTATCACTGAGAAGGTACGTGATCCCTGAATTCTACTGTTTTTACAATTTTGATCCCGGGTTCTCCGTAGTCATACATTCGTGCAAAAACAGCAAATGGCCCTCACTTTTGGTTGGGCTTTATACTCATGGTGGCCAGCCTTGTAACTGTATACAAGACCCAACATTGTATTTTACTTCAATCTATTTATAGCTATGAGCTTATACCCCATCGTTGTGCATCAAATATATGTGTATTACAACAAAAAAGGCTGAATCCGCATATTTTTGTGAACAAATAAATAGAGGAAAATTAGTTCGAATTGGTGATTATAACAATTATTTCTCATGTTAAACAAGAAAGAAAGATATTCTTGGTGCTTGAATCAAGAGAGTTTGTGTACATTGAGAATTTTACCTTCTTGGCATTAGTAAAATTGCACAGCAACACATTGACTACCTTGAACCTCAGGTCCGTTTGTTTAGGAAGAAGAAAATAATGATAGAAAGTGAAGTGGTAAAAAGTGAAGTGAAAGAAAGTATATTTTCTTACATGTATTTAGTTACCATAAAATATGTACAAAAATTTTCTTTCTATAGTTACAAGAAAATCTTTCTAAATATCAATATTACCCTTATCTATATTGGAGAGATTTATATCTAATAGATAATGACCAGTGTGGGAGAAAACATGGGCAAAGTGAGAAACTAGACGCCTCTTCAACTTTCACGGGAAAAAAAATTGTTTTTCTGCACAATCTGCAGGGAACAAGAAATGTAGCTTATCCGAAAATTTTGTGGGCTTAGAAATTTGGTTTTTAATATTTTTTAGCATTATAATGTTAAACAAACATTAAAAAATCAATTTTTTTTCCTCTTTCCTCCACTTTCTATCAATCTCTTGCTAACCAAATGAATACCTGCTCTTAGCAAGTTTCTTTATTTCATAGAATCAGATATAAAAACGATTGATAATTTGATTAAAGAAAAAAAAAATGGTTCAAGCTGGGGACTTAGGCGGGTGGAGGGGTGTCGCTGACCAAAGTTCATTGGTTCCACAGACTCGACCTTTAGAACCGGCTCTACCCATAGTGTAATTCAGTTGATATAATGGTGCACTTGAATTGGGGGTGTATTGTCCCCAAGTCCACTTGAATTAACAGCCTACCAATCGGGCACCAATAAAATAAAAAGTTTTCACATGGGTTCATCATCTGGTGCAGAACCAATGCAAGAGGGAGAATTAATATGGGAGAAGCGGGAATTGATAGCTTTCAAGAACCGGTGGAAGGGAAGGAATGCAGGGAACGACTCTTTCTTTCTTTCCAAAGATAGTAATTTTTTTGGGTAAATAAGATAGTAATTAGTTTGTAGGCAACATTTTTTAGCATTTTAATGTAATTTAGGGTTATTAATGAGTTGAATCGTGTCGTGTCAAAATTTATTTAATTCATACGTGATCAATCTATAAATAATCGGGCACACGTATACAAGTGATGTTTAGTAGGATTCGTGTTTATCCATTTATTTGACAAATTTAAAAGACTCATTCATTTATCATCTAAACTCAAATCAGTAACTCTATGCTAATTTAGTAATGAATACATAGATTGTACGTAAAATTACCACTGGTATTTATAATCCTGTTGTGCCATTTAAGTCACATTGCACGGTGGTCCTTCTTTGGAAAAAGGTTTGCAAACATCTCTAGGCCTTTTGACCATAAAATCAATTGAAGTAGGAGACACAGTAAATAAGTTGACCTCTTTGTCGAGTCTGTAAAAAGTATATCTCAGTAGGACCAACTAGTATCTTTCCAATGGCTGTCATTGCTAAAGAACAACTAGGCGTGATATAAGGGTGCGATCATATCAGTACTAATGCATCGGATCTCATCAGAACTCTACAGTTAAAGGTGTTTAGGCGAGAATAGTTCTAGGATGGATGATCCTCTGAAAAGTTCTCGTGTTGCACTCCTTTAAAAAAAAAGTAGGCGTGATATGGATGGATGGCGTTGTAACTTATATTTCCTACTCCCTCTCTCTCTCTCTCTCTATATATATATATATATATATGTAATTCTCTTGTCATATACACCAAAAAATTTTCAGGGCAAATCTGTAGAGGAAAAAAGATTAAAAACTCGAGGCCAAGATGGGGAATAAAAATCGGTCAGCTATGCCTCTGGACCTCCCAGCTTCCCTGTCACGTCCGAACATAATCAGAGAAGACTTATTTGAGCTTTATAGAATGAACTCGTGCCCCAAATCTCTCTCTCTCTCTCTCTCTCTCAGGGTTGGATGGAGTTAGATCTTATATTTTATAAAGTGGTGGGAGGTACAGTACCGGGGAGGGGGGGGGGGGGGTATGAACCATAAACCATGGTGGGCCTTTCTATGTGGATGACTAAAATTGAGGGTGGTGCAGAATGGCCTACTATCACAATTTAGACGACACCCTCACACTTCTCTTAATTAGGAGTTTCTTGGTGCAGTAACCTAGTAGTCCCCCGTCAAATGATATATGAAATATGTTGTATGATAGACATAGTTTATATACATCTATAATATAAAATAAGATAAACTTCAATAAGTCTATTCGACGGTCTCAAAAAATTTATCTAATTACTATCAACATCTCTCTTAAAATCATTCACATTGTACCGTGTCTTCAGGTACGAGTTACTCTTAGTATATGCATATATATTAGCGGCTCAACGCGTGCGAACGTTATTTGCAACCTGTCACCTTTTTGCATTTTCCTTACTTATCTTTTCTCCTCTTTTCCTCCTATCGTTAAATAAAATTTTGATGGACAATAAGTAATTTTGTAGATCAATGAAACAAAGGGTGGGTAGTTAGTGGTGGAGGTGACGAGTGGTTATAAGAGACACATACAAGAACATAATTAGAAAGAACTTTTGGTGTCTAATTTAATAATTCAGAATTATAAGAAAATAAAGAAGAAAAGACTTATCGAATCATTTTTTAATAACATTTATTGATATAAATGTTGGACCAATACGACCCACATGAAATATATATCTTTACCCGTCACAACATATTTATCTTGATCTTTTTTCTATCCCTTTCAAAGAGAAAAGAAAATAAAAAAAATTAGAAGATAGAATTAAAAACAGTGAGAAGTTTATGAGAGTAGGGAGATAGTGGAAATATATTTTCTCAATTCTAAGAATTTAAGAAATAAGGAGGAAAGACTTGTCAAACTCCTTGTCCTCTAAAAAAATATTTGCTATAATATAAATATAAATATAGATATAGAGATATATATATGTATGTCGGCAGGTGCCCCCGGGGGAGGGGGGGGGGGGTTTGAGGAATTTTCCTCCTTTTGTCTTCTAGTTGCATGTTGTTTTTTTGTGAACTGAATGCAAGGGACAGTGGATGTATCCTCTCCAACCCAACATGGTTTTAAATATGGTAGGTAAGAGGTGGTGTGGTTCTTTTGTATTGTTGCATTCATTAATTTTTTTTTGGATAATTACACTGACAATTCTTGGATTGTCATTTTTGACACTTTCACTGCACCACTTAGTTTTTATGCCAAATTAATGACTAGAATTATCCATTTTAATTAGGTGTATTCTTATATTTGATGGAGAAGACTATGGTATCGAGAAAAAAAAGTTTCGGTATTAAACCGTCAAATTTTATAAATTGAGATACAAGTTTTTTAGTTTGTTCATAACAAAAAAAAAAAAATTATAATTTTTGGGGTCATTTTAAAAATTTTATGGTTTATATTACAATGATCCTAAGCAACCCACAAGTTGTAAATAACCGTCAAAATTTGTAATTAATTTTTAAAAATTATAACCGACTCCCAAAATTTATAAATGTTCTCCAAAAATTATAAACAACCCTAAAAATTTATAAATGGTAGTACGATATCAATCTTTTTTCCCTACTACTATTGTCTTTTTCCTATTTGACATATTGCTAATGATAAAAAAAAAAAAAAAAAACCTTGATTTGAAGCAAAACCTATATTTTCATCCCATGGGTAAAAGACTGTTTGATAACATCACTTAAAACTTACAATTGAATCTTTAAGCACTTAACGAATTAAGTTCGTTTTATAACCTAAAATTCATACAATTTAATGTTTTAAACATTTCTTAAAAATAGATTAAAATTTAAATAGCAAATCACTTACTTATCATTTAATGCTAAAAATGTTAGTTAATAAAGATTTTATCAATTTTTCATAATAAACAAATATATCCCTCAAAACATTTTACACTCTTAATTTTTTAATTTCTACCATCCATCACCACCACCGCCACCGCCACCGCCACCGCCACCGCCACCATTGTGTTGTCACTATCAACACCACCGTTGTGTAATTGTCGCCACCACCAACACTACAATCGTCGTCATCATCATTGTGTTGTTGCTGTCGTCGCCACCACTCAATACCATTGTGCCACCGCTATCACAACCATTACACCCACCTCTACAACCATCACTACCACCACTATTTTCATTATCATCATCACCATTGTATTGTCACCCCCGCCCCCATTACTACCACCACCGTCGCTGCCACTATCATCACTATCACCATTGTGGTAGTGGTTATAAGAATAAAGTAGTTGCAGAGAAATGGTTAAAAAGAAAGACAAAATTAAAATAATAATAATTTTTAAACTTCGATTTTGTATAATTGTCAAACAGTTTGATTCAATTCAATATTTACATTTCAGTCGATATCAAATAGTCTACAAATTAAAAAATTCAGCATTTAGATCTTAAATTTCAACATTCAATTTGCAATATTCAGCTTTCATTTTTATCGAACACCACCTAAGAATATGTATCATGAAGAAGTAAATAACCAATACTAAGTAATATCATGCAATCCCCTATAGGATAATGCAAATTATTCAATAGCTCACTTTATAAAACTGAAGATTCCCGTTTAACCATGTTTTCAAGATAAGTTTATGATACTGAAAAATATTTGTTCAATTTTTGAGAATAAAATTATAACTTTTTATGGAGTTTAGAATTGATTTCACACCCCCAAAATGTTATAGCTTAATACAAAAAACAATATCATTTGACCTTAAAACTTTTTTTTATTGTTGTTTTGTCCCCAAAAAATTATATTTTGTACCAAAAAGGATGGTAAACTTTGGTATGGTAACTCATTCGATATCAAAGTCAAAACTTTTTTGATTTTTTTGATACCATCATAAAGAATTTGTCTCGATATTTGTTCAATGTTATAAGGGATGGGACAATAAAACTATATGAAATGAAGAAGATCAATAAGATAATTTAGGAATATTTTCTAATTAACATGACAAAAAAAAAAAAAAGAAGGAAAGTTAGATAGTTAAAATCAGGTGTAGAGGAATCAGACAAAGGCCATTATATAAATATAGAGTCCTGCAAGCAGTAGTCTTCTGTTGGTTGAACACATGTTTCAAGGAAGGAAAGTTCTATGAAATCTCCACCATTACAGTACTGTGGTAGTCCACAGAAACCAATAGTGCATTGGGAACCATCACTTTAGTAGGACCTCCTCACAATTATATCCTCAGAAGATCCCATCCGTCCGTCAGATCTTCTGTCTCTTTATGATGTAGTTAATTTCGCCGTAGGGGGCGGTTATAAGGTAAATGGGGGGCTCTAGACGAAAATTTCACATGAAGTCTTATTAATATTTTGCCTATTAATATATATTATTTTTAATTATTTATTTTTTTAAAAAATTATTTATTTTTAATTTTTTTAGATGGAAAATGGTGATCAAGTTCTTATATTTAAGTTTTGATAATAATTTTTTTCTTAATAGATAATATAATTATTCATTCCATCTTTAATTGATCATAAATAAGATATTATCAATTAAGTTTTGAACAAGCAATTTAATAGGGTCTATAAAATTTGGACTTAACTAAGTATAGAATAATTTTGGACCAATAAAATTAGATATTGATTTGAATTCTTAAATTTGAATAATATCTAAAATACAAAACAAAAATTAGACATACAATACTAAAAGGTAAATTTTTAGGAGCCCTCTAAAAGTTAGATTTAATCAAGTAGAGAGTAATTTTGGACCTAATAAAATTAGATATTAGTTTGAACTATTAAAATTTTGGGATCATTTCTAAAACACAAAAAAATAAAATAAAATTGCCTACTCTACTAAAGAGGCAAATTTTTGGGGAGCCCTATAAAATTTGGACTTAACCAATTTGAGAATAATTTTAGACCTAATGGAATTAGATATTGGTTTGAACTTTTAAAATTTGAGCCATAAAAATTTAGATCATATATAAAATACAAAAAAAAAAAAGACCTATTATTCTAAAAAAAAAGTTTGGGGGCCCTAAGTAAGCACCTTAGTTGCCTTTGCCTAGGGCATACACTGTTTAGCGATTGATTTAATGACTACTACCTCGCTATTAAACGTTAAATTTGTGAGTCTAAACCTTGTTGTCCCCATTTCTTATAATAGTGTTGGAAAAAAATACATATATGATGGAAGTCAAATCACAGTTTGTGCAATTGTCATTCACTGTCTAAAAAAAAAAAATTCAAATTCTCTAATTTTATGTCATATATAATCAATATATCCTTGATGGTGTTGGAAAGCTAGGTGTATGGAAGAGTGAGGCTAAAGAGCTCTCTGCTAAAATGAATATGTAGATTTCATGGGTCATAGGATATGACTGAGTAAAGTAGAGAAATTAACAATGACACGAGGATCAGTGGTTTATTAACTAAAAAGCTTGGTTAATCTACTTCAATGGAATCTCTTGTTATTGTAACTTGTATTACTTGATGGTGGAGAAAACAATTACAACTTTTTAGTGTGCGAATGTTCATTGTGTGTTACCATGCAAGCGTTTGCTTATTTATACTAGCTAATAGAGTGGTCTTTAAGCAATTATCGGGTGGTCCCTTAGTTTGTTAGGATATTGGAAGGAATATTTAACCATT